GGAAAGAGAATAAAAGACATTTCCTATTAGCAGAGAAGGGTAGAATTCCACACTTCTTTGTGCATTTTTCCAAATAAATAGGAGCTAGATAAAAAGCTTAATCAAATTATACAGAATCGTATGTGTGTTTTCATGCAGCTTCAAACGTCCCTCTTGCCAGCCTTCCTAAATGGGTTTTCAAGATGTAGACTGATTTCTCCTGAGAAAACTCTCTATCTGAATTGCAGGCTAGACTGGTTACAAGAGAGACAAATTTTATCCTGTGCAGTTGTCAGTGCAGAAAATTAATGTAATTTTTGGACCCTTCTAGTATGTATTACCCACATACCTTTTTTCTTTAAAATTTTCTATTGTATAAGCAAAGGTACATCAATGTTTTTAAGTCACTAAGCAGTTTAGTGTGGAAATGGCCAAGCTGTCTTCAGGTTTTGGAAGCTGCGTAATACGCTGATTGAAAATTGATCTCACGTTCTTAATGACTGTGCTTCTTCTGCGTTGACCATCTCTGCCATAAACTGTTTGGTGAGCTATAAACATCCTGAAAAAAGCAAGTTACTTAATGGAAGAAGAAAAGCTAGGGTGCTAATAAGATGGTTTGGGACTTTAAACAACAGATGATCTCTGTGGCATTTACAGGGCTCATGTCAGTGGAGTAGTATAAAGATGTAATTAGGCTTATGTGGATGGTCTAATTTATTCATAATTTCCACACTCGTGACTAATTCAGTCACCTAAAACTTATGCCAATATTTACAGGATAATTCCACAAGATATTAAAAGCATTTTGAATCTTAATTACCTCTGTGAAGAGTATTGGCTTTTGATGACTTGCAGGGGAATTTGGTAGAAAACAAGCTTTATAATGCTGCAAGCATGTTTCTTTTGTCTTGCATGCTCTGAAATCTTAAATGGAAAACACTGAGGAACGGGTAATAACATACCAGATACTGGGGAACAGAATTGAGCCCCCAAGGGCTTAAAGGGGTGGACAGCTGTGTGAAGACAAAGGTGTAATTCTAGGGCACAAGTAAGTTCAAAAGGAGAGAGCACCTACTTGAAAAGCATTTAGTGTGTTGGAGGAAAGTATAGCAAGAACCAGCAAGTATAATTTTAAAAAGAAATAGAACGAAAAATGAGGCACTCAAATTTTTAACGCTGCAAGTGATTATTCATTGGAAAAATGACTGCCATTCACTTTGCATGGAGTGCATTTCAGTATCTCTTTTTAGTATTTTTAAAGATGTAGTTCTTGATGGTGATATTAAAATATTTTACATTTTATCTCTGTAGCAGAATAGCTCATATTAGACTGCTCTTGTTTTAAACTTCTGGTTGTTTTAAGAATAACAAGTAATCTGTATATAGTAGTTCAGGCAGTATGGTTACGTTTTCTTTCAGTGCAGTTACATCTTTTTTTCATTCCACTGAATTTCACATTTCTTTGAATTGTTGAATTTTCAGATGGCTCTAACTTTCTATTTTTGTGCATGTATAAATTAATTCATATCTGCAGATATGCAGCATATGGAAAGTGATTACATAGGATTTATTTTTCTTGTACAATGCTTGACTTCTATTTTTTGGCAGTTTCTCTTAAATTTTCCTTGCAGGTATTGTATGTTTAAATGCATTGTTGTTACCTGACATATGTGCAATTTTGTTTATATGTTGCTGCATTCATGGTGATGTACCTCTGTCATCGGTCAAGATAGTTCATCATGGTCAGAAGGCTCAATAGAAGAGCCTTCAACACCAATCTCTTAAATTGTTGAGCTTTAATTTCTGTAAATGCACTTTTCTAATATTTTTTCATGTAAAGCTTTGCTTTATGTATGTATAGTTAATGAATATAAAAATCTATCTCAATTAATCTACTGTTCAGCTAGTGAGCAATTTCTCCAGTCCTGTATTCTTCTCTCTGCCACCTTCCCAACTAAGCTAGTTTTAGACTCAACTCTTAGCACTTTAATGTACTCTTAGGGTTGTTCGACACTTCACTGTTAAATATTTATGCCAGTCATTTTGTTTCTTGTGCCTTATTCTATTTTTCTGTGGTACTATGCTTTGATTTTTTTTTACTATGAACAAGTCTTCATCGGTTTTTCCCCTTTTATAATTGAGTAACTTGTTTGACTGTTTTTTGCTTTTTCCATACAAAAATAAATAAGTTACATCCTTTGTTAAGTACAGTTGTTTGCTGCTCCCATTTTAATGTAGAGTGGTGAGATTCCCATTTGGGTGCATTTGGCTTCCTTGTTTTTATTTTTAAGGGAAGGAAGTACTTTAGTTCAACGTGAATGAAACAGTTTTCAATATGAGAGCCAACGTAAGAGGTGTATCCTGTTTTAGGCCTGTTTAAGCAGAGATGCAATGTTGAATTTCATCCTTCTTGTATAAATGGAGCTCGTTAGAGAGCTGAAGCACAAGCATGAAATCCTGGTACCGCTGAAGACATGCTTTTATTGACTCTAGCGGAGCTGGCAATTTATTTCCAATACAACTAAGCATGAAAATACAGTGGAAGTGTAAGAAGTAAGACAGACTTTTATTTGTGTGTTCTGTGTTTGGTTTTCTTATATGCAAGAACACTGGAACTATTTTGGGGCAGATGAGAACCTGGGTCCAGTAGCTGTGAGTATAAGAAGAGAGAAGCCAGAGGAAATCAAAGAAAATGGACCTCAATACAACTACCGGATCATATTCAGAACCAGTGAGGTAAGCAGTTCAGGAATGATAGTAAAAGAAGCTAGAAGTGAGCAGGCAAAACCAGGTGGTATGTGTGGAGTTTGTGTGCTTTTCAGTATTGATAATAATTTCCTTCTCCTCTACATAAGTATAATCCAGAAATCTCCTGACAAAGTTATGCTGTGTGTTTATATTACATACAGGTAAGTGTATCAGTGAGTGAGTTATTCCATAACATCCCATACAGAGGAAACTGTGAAGGTTGTTTTGGTTAAAGTTTGAGAAACTTAGAGGAGCTATATTATTATGCTGTATGTTTATATTACACAGAATACAGGTAAGTGTATCAGTGAGCGAGTTATTCCATAACATCCCATACAGAGGAAACTGTGAAGGTTGTTTTGGTTAAAGTTTGAGAAACTTAGAGGAGCTATATTAGCTAGAAGCAAGCAAAGAGGAGGAAAATTACTTCCTCAACTTTTATACATGACAGTGGGTAGACCTGAGAAGCGTACTTTTTATACTTTGAAATGCTCTGCTAGAAATAATACTGCTAATTTTTTCCAAGTATTAGTTTCCTGTAAAACTTAAATCTCTTGAATAATTTGAAATACTCTGACTAGTTAGCTATCAGAGTGACATTTTGCATATCAGTGTCTGTTTCACGCAACAAGTTACTTAATGTCCTCTATATCTATTCAGAATTGGAAAAATAGTATGTTTTGCTCCACTGCTATTGCTAATCAACCTTTTCTCAGTGCATAATTCAATGTATAAGCTATTTTTGTTTTGTATGCTTAGCTTATGACACTAAGAGGCTCTGTGCTGGAAGATGCTATCCCTTCAACTGCAAAGCATTGCACAGCCAGGGGACTTCCCCTAAAAGAAGTGCTGGAGTATGTGGTTCCTGAGCTGAATATCCATTGCCTAAGGCTGGCCTTCAACACTCCGAAAGTCACGGAACAGCTTATGAAGCTGGATGAACAAGGGGTAAGTGCAGAGTTATAGAATGAGACAAATTGTCTTAAACTGTCAGATTACTGCCTTGAACTGCAAAATTACCTTTTAGCTTTAAGTGATTAGAGTCAGTCTATTAAAATGCCTCATTTAAACTAAAGCTTGTCATCTGTAGGGAGAGTTATGTTGCATGTCTTTCCCCCAAGTTTTGCAGAATATTTGGTATGTATGAAATCAAGCTCTAAGCAGTCTAAAGTTTTAGATTAATGTTATGGCAATTGTCCATTTTAATTTACTTTAAAAGAGACTAAGTGATTGTTTTTCAAAGACTGTGGGGAGGAGAGAGTTCTGTTCTGATTTTCTTACTGCTATTATAATGAGAATAGAAATCTCCCATGTTACTAAATGTTTTGTTGTAATTTTGTATTGGCACAACCATTACCAGGTGCTGCCTGTCTCTATTTTCTTTTTTTTTCTTCCCCTGAAGCAAACTACATGGCAAAATATTCTAAGCCTCTTCTTCATACAAGTGGTTTTCAATTAGGTGATAGTCCCCTGGTCTCTTAAAGGTGGAACCAATGCTCGTTAGCTATATAGCTTAGACTTAGCAAAATGAAAGTCCATGAGTAAAGTGAATTTTATGATTAAAAACTTTGACAGTGACATTTAACAGCTCTGAGTACTGAGACTGTCTCTTTCTCCTGGTCTTTTTGCTTCTCATGATCAGCCTTTCCCGCACAGAATTAACATCTATGTTATTATTTATTCTTGTTGTCAGTCTAACTTTGCTATCATAAAATTGAAAAAGGTCTAATCATTTTCTGCCCCACAAGGGAGAGAATATAGCTATTCTAAACAGGTTTACAAGTGACTATCATGAAGATTTTGTCAGCCTCCTTGAGGTTTGGTTATTGAAATGGACAAGATAGAGAATCCCCAAATAAGTACCTACCAGAAGCAAAACTTGAGCAAAACACTTTGTCTTCTAGTTAGTTTCAGAACCTCATCTGTTTCACTAAGAACACAATACACAGGAGTGGTTATGTGTGATCAGACCAAGGTAGGTGCCGCCCAGTATTGTCACTGACCATGACCAACAGTGGGTGCCTGGCTAAGAATATGAGAACAGGACGAGCATGGAGTGATACTTTCCTAGCTCCTGATAGCTTGTAGGCTTTTACATGGCTCTCTATCCTACTCCTCTGCTTTACCAGTTTGAGTCCTAGTTTAGTTAGTCATTTCTCATGTAGAAGTTGTTCTGTACTTCTGATCATGCTTTTGCCTCTCTCTGGAGTTTTTCCAGTTCCTCTCCTCCTCTCCCCCATCTATTTTAAAACAGTGCAGTTTTGAAGATGGGGAAAAATTTTGGTTTAGTATGTTTTCTTATCTCTTCCCTCTCTAGTAATTACTGATGTTTTATTTGCATTATGGCTACTATTGAACTCTGAAAGTATCTTTTCATGAACACCTAAGATCCTGTTCCTTAGGGGTATAAGTCAGAGCTCATTGCTGTAGATAGAAAGTTGGGTATCATTGTACCACAGGGATCACTTCAAGCTTTACTTGCACTGAGGTTCATCTGCCATTCTTTTGACCAGTTACCCACCATCATAAGTTCCTTAGGTAGTTCTCATAGCCTTCACAGTTCTCACAGTCTTCAACTCCAATACTGTAGAGTAATAACTCGGTAATGTTAGCAAACTTAGTGACCTTACTATTCGTCAAGTTACCTTACGATTCATCACCTCTATCAGATTGCTAAAGTGTGTGTTGAAAACTGTATGTCCAGCTTCAGATCACTGCCTTACTCTACTGATCGTTTTCTTCAGCTTCTTTTTGTCTTTTAGCCAGTTACATGTCTAAGTGAGTTCCTCTTTCTGTACCCCACCTATTTAGGGTTTTTAGGACTTTTTGAAGAAAAAGCTTTGTTAAATGTCTCTTGGAAATTCAGGTATACTCTGTATTAGCTGTTTCTCCTGCATGTGCTTATTGGCTCCTACAGAGAACGACACTGCGATGAGCCAGCGAACGCGTAAGGTTGAGGGGAGATGGGTTTACCATATAGCCTGCTAAAAGAAGGATGGAATCTTTAGATGCTTACACTGCTCAGTATAACTATTCTCTTTCACTTTATGAGATCCTAAGAAGTTGGAGGCCTGAGTGTTTTCCTTAGATAATTAGAGAAGTGATTCCAAATATACACATATTCAGTGTTTATGATTTATTACCTGAGCCTAAACCTAATCTGCCCTTCATCCAGAATCAAGTTTGTCAGGCACTTGAAGACTCAAGGATATCTTTCAGTCTCTTTCCAAAGTTTTGTTTCAGCAGTGGAGAAAATGGAATTTAATTCAACATGGGTCCATAAGTGAGCCTTTGGATTCAAGGATCAGTACCTTCCAGATATGCCCATCAAGAACATGCAATCTCAATAGCGTTGATGGGAAAATTTTCACAAAAAAAAAAAAAACTAGCAGAAAGTTCTAATTAAAAAAATAAATTCCAAAATTATTTCTAGCTAATACCTAATTTGAAAAGTAATTTAGCATAATTTGCTTCAGAAGTCAGTTATGTCTAAAAAGGTATGAGATTAAATTATCCTTATTTCATATCCTATACATCATTAAGCACCCACAATATGGTATTATAGTATGGTTTTCTGTTACTGCTTAAACTTTTGAGAATCATTAAGGACAAGTGATAGTTAAAATTGTATTATCTACATCAAAGTATTTTCTGGTTTTGTGGTAATGACAGTTTGACACTTCTAACAAAAAGATAAGCACACTGTACTAATTAGAAGCTGCATTTTTTATCAATTCCAAGCTAACAAAAATTTGGGTAACAGCTGCTCTACTAATTAGGTACACAGAATGTTTATCACTTCTTGCTGAGTGTCGCACTGTTTCATTACAGCATGAAAAGGTGCCTGTTTGATACAGCAAATAAGATGTTTTGTAAATTTAAGAGTTAAGACTGTAAAGTGACCTTAGCCTGACTGAGCCATTAAATTTCACCCAGTAACCACTTCATGGAGCCAAATTTGCATGCACCGCTTTTGATTAAGATAGGCTATTTTTTTTTTATATTAGAGTGAGGTTTTAAAGCAGTTGGTTGTTTTCTTATTTAAGAATTTGCAGTTCCTTATTTGAATTTATCTGCTTTTGGCTTCCAGACTTCCAATATCTTTCTCTGCTACATCTTAAGAGTCATTTTGGTGTGAGATTTTTTTTTCCAGCAAAGGTTTTTGTATGCAGTGATTAAATCATCTGTTGGTCTTGTTTATGATAAACTAAACAGATTGCACTTTTCAAGTCTTTCACTACAACATATTTTCTCTGAACTTCATACCACTTTTATGGCTGAACTCTGTCTCTTCTGTTCTTTCAGTATCTGTATATGTCATCCAGTGTCAGAATGGGAATATTCTTCTTGCCCCAGTTTTGTACTGGTATTGTATGTCAAGTTGCGTGTTCCTTATTTCCCCTTAGATTGCTAGAGTCATGGTAACATCTGCTGTTCTGTACATATGGCCCGCATTGCTTGTCACCTAGCTGTTCTTTTATTGGCTTTATTAAAATGCATTCGTTTGAATGGTTCTGTGTTAAAAAGCAATCCAATCGTTCTGTAGGGTTGCACTAGCTTCCTGGCTAATTACCATCTACTAATCTTTGCCTTGAATGCAGAGTTCATGGTAACTTACTTCAGGTTTACTTCAAAATATGATTAAAAAATTTGAATATCAGGGCAATTACTGATATATTCCAGTAGACATTTATGGCAATTCCTCATTCACAGCAATACTGTGAAACGTCAGTTTTTAATGTAATTCCGTATTTATAATACAAACTTGCTGACTGGTTAAATCCAAGATATGCTTTTCACTGTCTTTCATTGAGTGCTAGACAAATAATTGAAGTGCACTTTACCCACATATATAAATATGTAAATACTTTTAGATTATTAAAATGAAGCTGCTGCTTTAGGAGTTTTACCACAGCAGAATTCATCCTTCAGCTCCTTTTTTAGCTTTTATTTGGAGTTAATACACTTCTAAGGACCCTAGATTTATCAGAAGGAGGTGTAGTAATGGGAACTGCATGTCTTTCCTCCCCCAGATCCACTTTTTTTGATTCAGAAATACCAGCTTCTGTTGTCCTTATGAAACTTTTTTTTGAAGTTCAGCAAATCTAAGAACACAGCTAGAAGGCATATCCTGCTCTTTGCATAGTCCTTATTTAGTTTCTTAGGCTGACATTTCCAAAGCAATAAAGGACAGTTGTTTGGTTGCTCATGGATGCTGCGGATCCCATTTATGTTTATGCCCTTAAAAATACTTCCTTCACCCAAAATTGAAGCTTAAATAGTGTAGGTGTGCTTGGTGAGAATGATTTTCTTTGTCCTAACTTGTTTAAGTAGAATTACTAGAAACTATTGTAATTAGCAGTGCAGCTAAGGCATTGTGGTGCCATGAAACACTTCCATCCATCGTATTTCCCTGGGAGTGGACAAAGAGCATGTCTGAGCAGCAAACGTTGCCTGAACAGTCCAAGACAGGACCTGCTACTGATGATACAGAAAGCGATGGCAGTTGTTCTGGCAGGAGCAGCAGCAGTGCCACCTCTCACCACCCTTCCTCTCTCCCTTCCTCTCTCCTGTCTTCCCGCATGTCAGCAGTAGCTGGTCCAGGTTCTCTATGAGAGCACATAGCCCTGTCGGTGAAGGCACTAAGTTTGGCTGCTGTGAGGCATTAAGTTTGCAGTGAGTGGGATCATGTAGTTCGCTAGCTAAGCAGAGGTCATAGAAATGTACCCGCAAACCTCATCTACCTTCCGTGATTCCTGAGAAAATTTAAATCTTAGTCAGTCATCATGCAGAATGTTTAAAAAAAAAAAAAGTGTGTGCCATCCATCTGTATCTGGATTGTTTTGAGCATTGTGTACACTGATGGTTGTTTTGAATTTTTTTTAGTGAATAGGGATTTGAAATAAATAATCATAATAATAAATTGTAACATTAATTTGCATGTGCTAGGTATTTGTTTTACCAATAAATATCTTTCCTTCAAATCTTAATACTTGGGTGCCCAAAATACACAGTCTTCATTCTTAAAGGTGAATGTTTTTGGTTGGGTCTCTAATGCTGAAAGAGCATATTTCCTTTATAGTTACACAGAAAGCATTTCAAATAGTTAACAATGAGAGAAAAGGAAATAGAAATATTACTTCAAGGCACAAAATTGATTTTTTTTTGTTGTTGTTGCAGTTTTGGAAGTTGGCCTGCGTATGTTTCTTAAATAAGAAATAGATTGAGATGAGGACAAGCTGAGAGAGTTGGGGTTGTTCAGCCTGGAGAAGAGAAGGCTCCGGGGAGACCTTATAGCAGCCTTCCAGTACTTAAAAGGGGCCTGCAGGAAAGATGGGGAGGGACTCTTTATCAGGGGGTGTAGTGATAGGATGAGGGTAACGGTTTTAAACTGAAAGAGGGTAGATTTAGATTAGATATTGGGAAGAAATCCTTTACTGTGAGGGTGGTGAGAGACTGGAACAGGTTGCCCAGAGAAGTTGTGGATGCCCCATCCCTGGAAGTGTTCAAGGCCAGGCTGGATGGGGCTTGGAGCAACCTGGTCTAGTAGAAGGTGTCCGGGCCCATGGCAGGGGGGTTGGAACTAGATGATCTTTAAGGTCTCTTCCAACCCAAACCATTCTGTGATTCTATGCTGTACTCATATTTTATCATAAGAAATTTGGACATATTTAGAAGATGCAAGTCAAGTAGTCATTGTGTCAGATGATAAAATAAGGAACATTCTGGAGGGGAAAAAAGAAACAGCCTAGAACTGTGACTCATTACATATGCTTAACTTTTTCAGCTGGAGTAATCAAGCCAGGTTGAAATTTACCTTTCTTTTTTCCCCCTACTTATTTTCCTACTGCTAATACTTCATCCCTGTCACCATTCATCTTTGGCAGTAAAAGAAGAATGCAGTAAAGCTCCAATTTTCAGAGTTGTTTTTTTTTTTTATTTTAAAATTGACTTTAATTAGAGACAGAGTAGGACCACTTCTGAGGGCTTTTAAATTATCCCACCATAAATATAAGTTAAAATTAACTAATTTCAGTTTAATTATGTGTGTCCACATCATCCCAGCAAGTTCCAAACCCTTTTGTCTCACGACCTGTGATAGAAGCTTTGAGAGCAAATCACAGTATATGCAGATGACTTTGCTTCCAGTGCCCTTGCAAATAACTATTTTCACTTCCCACTAACCTGTAGATCAAACTTGTAAATCTCATGCCAGTTTCAATAGACTTTCTTGTGATTTTCCTCTGGCAGGTCTGCTTGGTATTTATTTAAAATGGAGCCTCTGCAGAAATTCCTGTGTGGGAGGAAAGATTATTTACCCTGCAATAAGTATGCATTTTTACTAGATGAATTACATGCACAAACTCCGAGGCTCTCCTTTGCTCTCTGCCAGTCAGAGTTCCTGAAAATAAGGAACATAAATGTTTGTTTCACTTCAGAAAGCATTTTGACATCTTTAGATGAAATATACCATCATCGAGGCAATTATGGTGGAAAACAATGAGAGTATTTGGAACTAGACTAACATTTGAAATTAGACTGATAAGTAGGTATTTTTGTGAATTACGGGTTTATTAAAAAATGTGAAGTGAATTCAGTAAATAAGTTGCTGCATCACTTGGTATACATACCAGATTTTAATCTTTTTCCCTTTGCAGTTAAGTTACCAACTTAAGGTGGGTATCATGTACTGTAAAGCCGGGCAAAGCACAGAAGAGGAAATGTATAATAATGAATCAGCAGGTCCAGCCTTTGAAGAGTTTCTTCAGCTCTTGGGAGAACGAGTTCGACTCAAGGGATTTGAAAAGTATCGTGCTCAGCTGGATACAAAGAGTAAGGCTTTTTCTTTTTTTTTTTTTCCCTCCCTTAAGTGAACGAAATGCATCATATGGTTGCTAACTGACTTTTTATAGAGAGTTCTTAAAAATAACCTCTTTGCTATAGGAAGACAGTTGCTCAACATTAGAAGTGAAAGCAGAGCAAGTATGTAATTTGACCTATACCCATGTGGTCTTTCAACTCTGCTAATTATTGGATATTTGTACTAATTTGGTATGAAATTATCACTAAAGCTGCAACAAGAAACCAGTAACTATGGAACCATTATCAGCATTGCAAATCCGTCATCAGTGTGTTGTCTAAAGAGTAATCAATACAGTCAGTATGTCATAATTTTTTTTAATGATATACTAATAGGCTGTCACCAAAAAAGTTTCGAGAACCCATCTATGTAACTCCACCTTGACAAGTTGATCTGTTGTATTTCTGCTCTGTCTGTTGCATGTAGTTTTTCTTCTAGGCAGTTTTGTCTTACTCCTGCTATCAAATGTATTCCTCCGTCTGTGATATTTCTTTTGAGTTACGGAAATCAAACTGGATTTGGCAGTTACGTTTTACAGTTAAAGCTGATAATATATTGCAACAAAAATGCAGTGGAAAGATGGTCTTGGGTGACAGTATCTATAAAAGAAACTCCCTACTTTTGGAATCAAGCTTGTGAAATACCTGTTTATCAGCTAGTGTGTGCTATATTCCATTTGTAAATCTATTTAAAAATACTCGGGAAAATTTTGGCCTGTCTTCCTTTTCTTTGTAACCAGTTCCTGTGGAAATCTTTTGCTATTTTGCTCACTTGCAGCAAAGGAAATTGAATTAAGTAGTTGATTCATGAAAGCTGAAAAGTATTCATCAACTTTAGTGCACCAAAAACTGTGCTCCTCTCATGGGTCTCCTATCACAAATACAGTAACTTGCTGTGCTTTAGTGCTCTACCGTTCTACCTTGTGTCCTTGATTCTTACAGGGATCACGTTGCCATCTCCTCAGGCTGTTCTTGATCAGCCTAATCATCGCTCCTCAGAGGGTTATAAAACTTCCTGTGGTTTTAAACCTAAATTAATACCTATTTCGCACATATTTACCATTGAGCCAGCATTCTTTTAGTTGCAATACTTATATTCCCTCTATTGTATTTATTCCCTTGAGTGCATTTACACATTACGGTTGTGTCTCCTCTATGCTTTTGTGATGTTACCCTTAATAAGCCAAGTCTCTTATTGGTATGGGAGGCGTGGATTTCTCTGCCCCTCCCCCCCATGCAGTATTACCTGGTAACCTTCCTATGCACTTGTCCAAGTTTGAATTCAGTATCTTTAAATTTAGTGGCTAGGATTATATACACGATTCCAGGTGAAATCCAGGCAGTTTCTTGCTGTAACATTGCCTTGCCTTTACTGGAAACATATCATACAATAATTCTGAGGCTGGGTTTTCCTTTTCTGCAGCTCCAAAGTACGATTTCATCAGTTATAAAAATAAGCTAGGTCAAAAATCAGATGTGTATGGAAAACAGAAAATACCTGTTATTTCATGGCTTCTGGTTTTACACTGTGACCTCCTTGTTACTTTCAGTAATTAAAGTAAAATCCTCTCTTCCCTTTCTTCTGGCTTAGTTATTTAAGACATCTGAAAAAAAACCTTTTTTGGTGTCAGTCCACACATGCTGGTTTCTAGTACATGTAAATGCTGTATGATTAAGAGTTGACTCATCTGCTCAGATATACCCATGAAAGCTGTAACTGTGCCTTAGTACTTGTTTAAAATTTTCTTCTAAACAGCAGAATTTTTCAATAATGTTTGAGTTCCTTCTTGTTGCTTCTGACTCAGGGAAATAATTTTGTCAGGTTTTGATTTTAGGTACTACGATCTAGCACCTGTTGAATGGACATGTATGTAAACTTTTAATTGACTGAGTCTCTCCTGGTTTTAAGAGTTGTCATCTTGTGCTGAAGGTTTTCCACTCCATGTTGAGAGCTGACGTGTCTTTTTCACGTTGCCCAGTAGACCTACCAGCTCCATTCTGTATCTAAAAATACAAAAATCGAGAGGCTTTACATGGACACTTAACTGTGATCAGAGAGGAAGGGGGGATGCTCTGAGTGGAAACTACTGCTTTCATGAAGGGTTTCCTACGTTTTCTTTCGGTCAAGGTTTACAAGCTCACATGCATGGGACCTCATGAGCTAGAACTGCTTAGGAACTCCTAAGGTGTCTGAAATCTTTTGGGTTACGTTGTCTGCAGGCTCACTGAGGAAACGTGACTGCACAGCATATGTGAGTTCTTAACAAGCAGGTTTAGACAGCAGCAAATGTGAACAATGGCAACAGACTTTTGTAATTTATCTTGATGGTGCTATGTTTTCCTTTCTGCCAGTATGCAAAGCACAGACTGGAAGTGGTGGAAGAGAACGTGGTGTTTTGGGGGCACAACTCTAGGCTCTTTGGATAGCTACATTCAGAAACCCTTATTGCATATTCTGCATAGGAAATAGCCAAAAAAAAAAGCCACCTTGTGGTAGGCAAAATGCTAAAGACGAGATGGTCGCAAGAGCTGCGTCTCAGGTATGGGGAATATGTGAACAGCTGAATGCAGACAGGCCATACATCTTTGATAGCTACCCAAAGTAATCAATCAGTCTTTTTTGCCTTGGCCCTAATACAGAAAGGCCCGCAAAGGAGGAGGTTGTGGGTTTTACCATGACTTAGGTTTATAGGGTTTTGTTGAAACAGCTAGGTCTACAGCTAGGAAGCGAGCTTCTCCCTTTTCCAGCTCTGCTTTTCTGTTGCTAGAGGTCACTGTGATGAAATAGTTCTTGCTGTCTCATTACTCGGGAAATTTTCCTGTGTAAAAATTCTGTTTAATGTCAGCACAGCTGATTGCAAAGATGCTCTCGAAAACAAATGTCTGTTCATTAACTTGCAAGAAAGGTCAGAGCTATGTAGGCTACTTTGCTAGTTCCTATGCCTTTGCCAATACTTTGCAACCTATGAAAAGCAGATGCGTGATGTAAGACACGATGAAAGATTTTCTCAGCGTGGAGGGAAGCCGATTTGTATATGTACTCCAGAAATTTTCACAAGATGTTTTTAATTTATGCAAATTTAGAAAAGTAAAGTTGCTCTAGCAAAAGGCAGTTTCAGAACAGTTGTTGTTCTTAGAAATTTTTAGAATTAGGGGCCTAATTGGTAAGTATCTGTAACAGAGCCAATTTTTAAAACTGGAAACTCACGCATCCTATTAACTGAAAGCCTATTTAAGTATATTGGATCCTTCAAGGGCTTTAGCTTTGGATCTCTGCCAGTGCCACTGTGGAAAAGAGCTGTTACTTTTAAAGTTTTGTTTGTATATTTCTAGAATTGCCAGAGGGGAAGCAGTCTATCTCCTGGCAGCCTACAGACTTTGGATAGGAAATAGAGCTTGAAAATGTCATCTATCCCATGGTTGCTAGGAAGTTTATAGGCATCACTTTAAAGTAATAAACATCACAGTAATCTTTCAAATTATAACTTCAGTCATTTTACTTTATTTTCTACTTGTATGCATGCTTTATTTCCCTCCCCCTCACTTAGTCTTATTTCTCAGTATTTTAAATTGGTAAACGGGATCAGCTGGATAATGCTAGGCCTGGTAACCTGGCGTGTGTGTCCAGCAGAGTGGTAGCGTGGTTGGTGCAGGAAATGAAGGAGATTGATTAATGTGAGTTGTAGGAGTTTATAATCTCATCATTAGATAATTCATAAACCTAGCTAATAATGGTAGGTTTCTGTATGAGATGTTTGTACTGCATAACTTTTTGGTTAAGACATGAGAAGAATATAGAAATAGCACAGAAGATATTATTAAATAGATTAAAAATCTGGGGAATGAATGGACTTCAAATTGACATTTCATTTAAAAGTTGTCAATAAACCCTAGTGTTTCTACTGAAATAATACAGATAGATTACCTTCTTACCTTGTACTATTTAACATCTTTTCAACCATGCAGAAGTAAGAATAGACTTACTGTTGGGTTTGAGACATTTGCTGGGAGACAAATAGCCAAAGGAGGTCAGAGCTTCCTCTATTGCTTAAGAAGCAGAAATGGGGATGGGGGGGAAGTCCATCTGCGTTTCTCTGTGTTTGTATTAACACATATACTTTTGTATGTTACAAAATAAAGGATTCTGTCCTCGGAAATAGTCTCTGAGAACAACTTGGCTATTACAGAAGTTGAACATGAGTGCTTGGTGTAGTCCTTGTGTATAACAAAGGAGAGCAGGTTTGGTAGATGCTGAATGTGGGCCAATGACTAGGAGAAACTAGAAATAAGGCAGGACTTGTTAACAGCAAAGGTAGATGGGAAAAATATTAAGCTCTGAAACTTCTTGTTCTTGTGCCTTTAATTGTGAGCACTGCTGCAGTTTGTAGCAATGGCTGTTCCTTCTCCTGCCTCATCAGTATTGTTTATCTTTTGTTTTCCTACAATTCCTTGCAACATGTTTTCCTTTGAAACACTGAGTTAGAGTTTCTACTTGTACTGGTTTTTATACAGTTTTCTAGTGCAGAGGTTTTAAAAGCTGCTGTAGAAGCAGGCTGACAAAGTCCTTTCGCTTCAGTGAGGTGAATTTATCAGCAGTATGCTGGTGGTGTCAATCACAGTTTTGAGCACTGCTGCTGTTTGAAAAAACACTTAAATGGGAACCTGTTAAGACAGTCCTTGTGAAGATAGCCGAGAAACATTGGAAGGACAGAAGAGTAAGGTGGATTTTTAAAGTTGAATAATGATGGAAGGAAAAGATGATCGGATAAGTCCTCAGCTAAGTAACTAAATCCAGTAATGGCACAAGTCTGAGAAGGCAGCATCAATAGGTATGCCATAAACTGATGGCAGGATGGGATGTCTTCAGTGTAAAAAGGTGCTAACGAATTTGTAGATCCCTCGGGCCTCTGTTAAATATAAGGAAATCAAAGTAGATTGTAGTGCTGGCTTACAGTTCTGACCTTGAAATGGTGGTTATTGTTCCAGTGCGCAGTCTTGGATTTTACTGCAATGGCAGTGATTTGATTTAAAGCAAACGCCTGTAATTATTGTGTTGTACTTCAGAAAAAGTATTCTTGACTTGTAAGAAAGAAGAAATCTGAATGGTGAGAAAGATGCACAGTCTGTAGTGGATATGGACTTTTTTCTGTAGTTGGATTTGAATAACAGGGATTTAAGCTGTGAAGTACTTGGAAATAATTGGAATCATTAAATGTGTCACTTGGATTGTAGCCTTATTACTTCATTTGCAGAACCAGTGCTGTTCTGAGAAAGAACACTTTTCTGCCTGAAGTGAAGTCCATCCAGGAAAGTTGAAAGTTTGGCTTAAATGCATAGGTGTTGTTCTAGCATATTATTTGTCAGAACTGCATTATTCTTTTCCTCTTCCCCCCAACCTCTTTAGGGTCCCTTCCCCTCTTTTGTGGCCTTCCTTCCCCTGTCTGTCGTCTTACCCACTTCCCTTTCTTTTTGAACGGGCTCCCCCTTTCCGGTTCTTTGTAATATTTTTGTGTGCTCTATTTATGAAAGATGATGTACAAATTAGCATATTTACAGTTAGACAAAAAAAAAGCCAGTGAGGAGTTATGTTGATGTTTAGGTGACTTTCAGGTGCATCTGCCTCCTTCAGCATGCATTGCAATGATCAGGGAGAGGATAGAGGCTGTTGCGAAGTGAGTGCAAGATGAAATGATTCCCTTTCAGCTGTCGTGCTGTTGTAATTAGCATTAAAAAGAAAACGTTTAGCAGCTAGCTAGTTTTTCATAATGGCAATGTTGAGTGCGGCAAAAGATAGCCCGGTCTTCTTGAAACATTAACTGAGATTTTTTTTTTTATAAGATTCTAGGAATCTTTTTTTTTTCTTATCCCCATTTTATTCTATATAAATGATTTGGAAATGCAAAATCTCTATGCAGCTATAATGTAGAAAACTTTCTATTTCATTTTATGGATGATGTTGTGGTTTTTCATTTACAGCAAAGCTACCTCTATTTTATTATTCCAAATTTGACAGAAAACGAAAACTTCTTGTCAAAGCTTATACCCAAAATCTGGGTAAATAAACTGTATATTTATGTTATTGTAAATGCCTCACAAATCTCAGAGCTATTATCTCCTTAGTAACATGATCTCTCTGCTAATAAAAAATGCCAAGGTGTAGTATTTAACAGCTTTTTAAAATACATTGCTATAAATAGCTGGGATTATATAATATGGTAGCATGTTTATATAACTTCAAGTAACCAGGATGCCTTTTTCCATATATAAATCTAGTTATTTTTAAAATTCTGTTTGAAAACGGGCTTTTTTCACTGTGGACAGCAGTTATATTTAATAGAATATATTCACTATTTCAGCTTTAAATGTGTTACTACTTAAATTAATGGAACATTTTTCAAGGTCTCTTTCTGAGAGGGAAAAAAGTAAAAACAGAAGTTCCCAATTTGTCTGTAATCAAGTGTTGTCTTCAACCAACACTTTGTAAACTTTAATAATATCCCCTCTTCTTTTTTTCTTTCTAAACTTCATAATCCTAGTTTTTATCATTTTCTCTCCACATGGAAGTCTCTCCATCCACGTATAATTATTTTTGTGGCCTGTTTCTGGATCCCTTCTCTTTCTTCTATAACTTTTAAAATAGGGTGGCCAGAACCCAAAACAGGTGAGAGTACCTTTGATTAATATACCAGCATTATAATGTCATTGTTGTGGGCTTTTTCCATCATCAGCTGTAAGCATGCTAGCATCCTATTTGGGTTTTTGACTGCTCCTATCCATAAAGCACCTGTTCTAGTGAAGGTTTTATCTGACTTCATTACAGTTAATTTAGAGTCCTGATATTTATGTTTAAAAGAACCCATTCTGTTCTTTCATATATTGTGGGTTATATGTCCACTGATACTTAATTATGCATGAGATCATGGTATTCGTTCGTAGTATCTGTCTACCTTCCTTTCTGAAGTCCTTCTCACATTCCTTACAGTTCAGTTTCATTCCGATTAGCCTGAGATATTGGGTGGTGTCTGAAAATTATTTCAGACTTTGTTACCACTTTTCATGCTCAAATAGGCTTTCTTCAGGGTTTTCTGATTCCTATTCCTAACAAGTTCCTCATTGGGAAAAGTGTGCAAAATTATATGTGCCATCCATATATGTCATTTGCTTTGGCAGGTGAATAAACTCTGGGTAAGTTTTTACTTGCTGACATTTCAGCTATGATCGAGGATGAATAGGAATTCTTGTCTTGCCTGATGATTTTCTTTGATAAGAATGGAACTTTGTTTTTAAACTTTTTTTAAATAATGCTTTTATTTTCTTTTTTCTTTAACTGAAGCTGATTCAACGGGTACTCACTCTCTATACACAACATACAAGGACTATGAAATCATGTTCCATGTTTCTACTATGTTGCCATATACTCCAAACAACAAGCAACAGGTAAGATGGACCATGCCTGTTTAGAATTAATTTTTCCTCCATCTGAAATGTAGCTGAACTATTGAATATTTATGACAACTTTCATTTGTTACTAACAAAGAAAACACTTAAAGAATCAAAAGTATCAAAAAATAAAATTGGCCATCTCTATGTCAGGAAGATGAGCAAAGCAGATCATTGTAGGTACATCATAGGTAGATTTTTCTCCATAGGACTGTTTTCTATTTAATTATGCATTATTTACTGAAACTGATCTAAATATTATACAATAATGTCAGTAGCGCATCTGTGTTACATAAATAAGAGTTCGTATCTTATGTCAAAGGGACGTAAGTACTTGTGTAGTGTACTACATGTAGTACACATGTCATAGTGTACTTGACATGATTTTCAGCCTTCTGCAGCAAAGTCCGTTGCACTTTAAGGAATGCATTCAGCAAATTGTAATATGCACAGAATCAGAGGTGACAAGTGGGTGGTCCAGCATGTGACACAAGAAGCCATGAGACAAAATCCTTTCTCTTTTTTTTTTTTTTTAAGTTTTTTTTATTATACTGAAGAGCTACGTAGGCTGACCTGCTTTGTTACTCTGAAGTACCTGGTCTTGTTAAGTAGTAGGCCATCTTGTTGTGTATGATGTGTATGCATTTTACTCTAGAAATGATGTTATTTTGTGTTTCTGCAAATAAAACAGAAATTTCCTTTAACAATGAAAGATAACACAGCATTCTTTTTAGTTTGCTTTTGTACGCTAAATGTTACACTGCTTTCTAGTTTACCTTTCTCTTTTACCGTAGTCTTGGATTTACTGAAAGAAGCCTATCAGAAAATTATTATAGCGTGTCTTAAGGACAATGACAACTATTTTCAACTTGAAATAGAACCTGCTTCTGGCTTGTAAAAATGTGTGAAGTGAGGAGTGTTTTCCAGCTTCCATGTATCACTGATTACTCTGATACTAGCAGGTTTTGCTGCTGTTTTTCCTCTTCCTTTAGCTGAAAATTTTCCCCAACAAGATCTTCCTATATGTTACATGTAGAAATGAAATTGTTACAAAAATTAAAATGCCCATGCCTGAAACTTAGAAGATGAATAACTAATATTCTGGTACTTGTCATATAAATCCCCAACTGTTTCAGTTTTCAGCTTGAAGTATCTCTTGGAATAAAAAAAATTGAACAACAGTAATTTATAATAATGAGAAATAAAGAATTGAAAATTGTGAAAAGACTGTGTTTTAACCTATGCTTTTTTTTTTTGTTAAAGCTTCTGAGAAAACGACATATTGGAAATGATATTGTGACAATAGTTTTCCAGGAGCCTGGAGCACAACCATTCAGCCCAAAGAACATTCGATCCCACTTCCAGCACGTCTTTGTCATTGTAAGAGTGCACAGTCCCTGTACTGACAGCGTTTGTTACAGGTAACTATCGCTAGTTTCACTGAAAACATGGAATTTGAGTGCAAAGGGAGGTGTCATTCCTCTCAAATTCTCAGTAGGGAAACATAATGAAAGATAGGGGTCAAGGAGATTTTCGGTCATGTGAATGTAGTACGCTTTTTAAAAAGTAAATAGACACACATGAATATGTAAAGGAAGCACACCCAATGAGGAAATGAATGCTGTCAGTATGTCTGTACACACACACACATGTGCGCACACATATAAAATCAAGCATTTGGGAATGATTTTAAAATTCCATCCTCACTTCCTTTTTATTCTCTTCATTAAGAGTATGCTAGAAGAGTATTTCTATTTCGATTCTTATGAATTCACTTTTTGTTCAGATAATTTGGGCATTTGAGCTTATGTTCCATTTTTGAAATTGACAGTGAAAAAGTATGACTAACCTTTCAGAAAGAAGCTAAGCTCTCTGAAATACTTTGTCTGAAATACCTTAATTTCTTACATCGTTTCAGTCCAACAAAGACATTCCAGAGCATTATGCAGCAAAAAAAAAAATCTTAGTGTGACCTTAAAGTCAATATGATTAAAAGAGAAAATGGTAACTGATAGTAACATATAATAAAGAATTGCAAGATGATTCCTATTTAGCATAATTTTTTAACCAAATGGAAAGCATATAGAAATTATGTTTTTGAGTTACACTTCTTTTTACGGTCAATGAAACTTTTTACCTTTGTTATATCCTGAACTCTTAATGTATTTTTATTTTTAAATGTTGACTGATCTCACAAACTTTTCTAAAGCTTCTTTATTTAAAATATGAAGTGTCAGAGTAATGGATTTAGAGTAGTTATCTTGAAATGAAGTAGCCTTAGAATTAACTTGTCTTTACTGAAATACAAATGTTCACCTAAGTGTTTCATTCAGACAAGTGCTTATTTAGAGGAAGAGCTAAGACTGCAGTGTCTGAGATGGTGTATTCATGTTTTTCAAGCAAGTATAGTAAGGCATAAAGGCTTTTCCTTCCCCGTGTTTGGTAAAGCTCACACAGCACTTCTGGAACTGATGCTGAACTTTGTATGTGTATTAAATTCTCCTGGAGTAGGTGTGTTCGTGTTGATACTCATTTTAAGGTATTCAAGGTACTCAAATTCCACTGCTACATAATTTATGTGGACATAGCTTGTTCTTAAACTTTTAGATGTATGTTTCAGCTCTTACTCTGTACAGAAACTGATTTTGAAGTAAAAGGAAAGTAGGAAATACATCTACAAGGGCTACAGATGCATTTTCCATTTGAATTGGATATTACAAACACAGAGAAAGATCTGCTTTTGGTTATTATTTGAAATAATGTGACTGCATATTTTCAATTTCTTCCTTTTAAAAGGCATGGGAAAGATTTATACTTGTTATACTGTAATAAATTTAAGTATCTCGTTCTATTTCTGACCTTCAGACTTCTGAATCGCTTTTGTTTTTCAAGTGTTCACAACTACAAGGGCTGGAGCCTTACTGGTTACTATTAGTGAATAAAATTTGAGAATTTCAGCTTTAGTGATGCTACAAGCTTAAATTTTAAGGGGAGGGGGAGCAGGTAGGAAAAAAAAAAATTGAGTGTCAGTGTTCATTTTGATACAGGAGACTGCCAGAGTACTGTATGTTCTGTGTACTGCCTTTAAGATTAAAATCCTTTCTTTTTTTGTCCTCTCAGTGCAAACACTTGATTTAAATTTATAGAATTCCATTATGAAAAGTTTTTCTAGGAAACTTTTCAAAGTAAGTTTGACCTCTTTTTCACTGAATTATTTGGAACAGTTTCATAGATTCATTATTCTAGACAAAACAGGAAGCCATATAGCAAAACCATTCCAGCATAAAAATGTACTGGAATTTATATTAAAAGCTACACAAAAGGAATAAAATCAAGCACTGTCTTGGCCAGTGATTCTCCCTCCCAACTAAGATAAACAACATTTCAAAAGTTTGGCTTCTGTCAGCATCATTCACTTTTTAAAACTTCTCTAGCATATGTTAAAGATTAAATTCCTATCCCTGTGATTCATGATATTGAATACCTAATCAAATAAAACGTCACTGGTAGTTTTTCATTACATCCAGTAATTGTGTTTAATGCTTAGGCTTCTATCTCTTAATAACAGACCCTTTAGGACCACTGAAGATGATCGAGAGTCAGATGGTTGCATCATGAGCACCACCTGTTGCATACTTTTAGATATATTGGCATACATTTGAAGGAAATATGACAGTCAGTCACATCTTTCAATATCAGTTGCCAGAAAATATAATTTAAAAAACCAAAAACAACAAAACCAAACAAACAAATAAAACACCCCACCACCCAGGAACAGAAGATATGGTTAAAGATTGGGTGGCTTAATTTTTATTTTTGGTGTTCCTGTGTGCCCCCCCCCCCCCCCCCCCCCCCCCGCTAAATCAGTGAAATAAATTAATTGCTATGAATTATTCAGCTCTACCTGTGGCAATGAAAAATAGCAAGAGCATTAGGTTTCTTCTTTGTGTACTAAGCCTCTAATTTATAGAGAATGCATATTAATAAAACACAGGATATTCATCAATATTCAAGTCACTGACTGCCTGGCTATTTAATCTAAAATTACCAGCCAGCTCAACACTCTTACTAGTTAATCATGCAATCTAAGCCATTCTGATATTGATGGTTAACATTAATTGCCCAACTGCCATTTATAAAATCCTCTCCTACATCTTTCCTTTGCCTAGCAGAGAACCCTTTGACACGTTTAACTTTACGGACAAGCTGGAGAATGCCAGCTCATCTGGGCTGTTCTTGAAACCAAAATGTTTGTTTGTGTGTTTCCCGTGAAAAGGATGTTGTCTCCCATGGTGGTTTTGCATTTTGAACATTATCAGTAAAAATGTTCCTCATTATTAAGATCTTTGGTAAGTTTTAAGGATTCAGATAAGTTAGAACAAAGTGTGAAAATAATACCAGCCAGTTTTCCAAATGAAATACCACATACATTTCAAGTTCCATCCTATTTTTCTTTATAAAACACCATTACTGTGATATTTTGGCCAAAATTAGTTAATGGTTTTTCAGATCTAGTTATAGATATGTGGTAAATCATATTTGAACTGTTGGAGCATTTCTTGTCACAAAACTGTTGAAGTATGGTTGTCAGTCTCTTCTTAGGACAGATTATCAAGTGAATGATACTGGACTGGAATGGCAAATCTTCAGTGATGCCAAACATCTCTCATCCGCTCTGTATCAAAAGAGAATTGACCTTAGGGAGAATAGCTAGTTGGCATTGCCTAAGGCTTATTGTCAGCCCATCACTTGGTATGGAAACTAAGAGTTGAAAAAGAAAGCATCTATTTCTCATATATGTCTCCAAACTTCTAAGAAATTTCTTATTTCTAGTATTTTTGGAGTCTGTTTTTATCACTAGCATGCAATATCAACTAGTGCAGTTTTCGATCTGGAAATTTAAAACATAATCAGTATATTATAATAGTATATTATATACGTTTATATACGTTTAAAATATATACGTTTAAAATATACGTTTAAAACATAATCAGTATGTATGCATTCAGTCACCCGAAGATGCTTCTCACAGTGAAACTGGCCTTGTGAGATGACTTTATTGTCTTTATCTTTTTAATGTGTCCATTTTATGTATATTTCTAGTATTGATCATACACTTCACATTGCTTTCAGTTGAGCCTTTCAGCTTCAAGTAGCTAAATTATAAGCTAGCCTTTTTAATAGCGTGTGTTAGAAATTTTCTGTTTATAGTAGAAACAAACAGAATTCAGAACTGCCATACATGAGTGACTACTTTGTCAAAAAAAGCATGGTTTTGCACTTGAAGCTCTTTTTAAGCTGTGGTACTGAGGATGACTCAGAAATGCCTGGATGCAAAAATAAGTGGCCTTCTGTTTATACGGTAAGGAGGACATTAATCTCCACACTGGCAAGATTTAAATGTAAACATAGGCATATTGCTGAGAAAAGGAGAGGAGAATTGAGGGTTTAAGGAAAAAAGGAAATGTATTTTCTGTATTCAAAAACTGCTGAAATGGCATACAGTGAAAAACTCTGCTTCTTCCTTATTCTTTTATTTCTTTTAGTGTTGCTGTGACAAGATCCAGAGATGTACCATCCTTTGGACCGCCTATTCCAAAAGGTGTCACGTTTCCTAAATCAAATGTGTTCAGGGACTTCTTACTAGCCAAAGTCATTAATGCAGAGAATGCTGCTCATAAATCAGAAAAGTTTCGTGTGATGGCCACCAGGACCCGTCAAGAGTACTTGAAAGACTTGGCAGAGAAGAATGTCACCAACACACCTATTGACCCTTCTGGCAAGTTCCCCTTCATCTCGCTTGCTTCAAAAAAGAAAGAAAAGTCCAAGCCTTATCCAGGAGCAGAGATCTATAGTTCTGGTGCTATTGTTTGGAGTGTCCACGCAAAAGACTACAGCAAGGGTATGGAAATAGACTGTCTCCTAGGCATCTCTAATGAGTTTGTAGTCCTCATTGAACAGGACACGAAAAGCGTGGTGTTCAATTGCTCCTGTCGAGATGTCATAGGGTGGACTTCAACAGACACAAATATCAAAATATTTTATGAGAGAGGTGAATGTGTTTCCCTGGAGAGCTTCATCAGCAACATTGATGATATCAAAGAGATCGTCAAAAGGCTGGAGGTTAGAATGTGTTCTGTTGTTTGGTTCCCCTTCTTTACGTTCTCCTCTTGCCCCACCACCAAGTAAGGCTTCAATTTAAGTAATGCTTGGGATCCCTAAAATTGTTCTAATTGTTTATCGTGAAATCTATGAGGACTTTCTTGCTTTTATTTCTCATAATCCAATATTGCTTTCACTTTTATCAGATATCAGCCCACCTCAGCTGGTTGCGTGTGTGTCAAAAATGTCTCAATATATTAACAAAAAAAAAAAAGCAGAACCTTCAGATGTGTAAATTGCTCCCAATAAATATAGAAGTCTCACTTTATTTCTCTTCCTTGTTTTCCTTCCCTTTCTCTGTTTTATAGGCTTGTTGTAATCTTGTTTCAAATGAAGCTGTAATATCTTTGAGACTGACTTACTATGTTGCCAGCAGGGTGCAGTCCCTATTGCAACCTTCAGATATTCTCTGAATGCATGTGATAAACTAAAAATGCAGTGAATCATGGTATCTGTCTATAAAACATCTGTCCGTGCTCATTTTTTTATCCAATTAAGTTATGAAAGAATGTGTTACATTTCACCGTCTTTCCTGTAATTTCATAACTGTAGTTGTATAATGACCAGGAAAAAGGGAAAACCAGGCCCTATTAAATTGCTCTTGGCGGTATTCATGCTCATGGTACATAAGAGTTGGCATAGACCCCAGTTTACTGTGCTTAGTAGCTGCATGCCACCACATTCTGACTGAAGGTAATCTTGCAGTTTACTGAAACAGTTACAAATGTAGAATGGTTGGCTGGTTACTAAAGTGTAAAAGATAAAGTAGAGATGCTTGTGTAACTCCAGGTGTTTTTCTGTTGTGTGCTGCCATGTATCTTCTAAAATTCCTGTGGTTTCAGTAAAAATTTCAAGGCAGAACTTGGGTAACCAGACTCTACTGAAAATACTAGTTAGAGTGACAAGACCCACTTCAGCTGATTATGTACCCAGGACTGTGATATATATTCCTTGATTTGGTTGATTGTACAAAACTGGAGCCCTTAAACCTCTATTAGCCCTGAAGGTCTCTGTGCATTAAATTCTGTCTTCGTTTCAATTCACAGCTTGTGACTAAGGGCTGTGAAACAGTGGAGATGACTCTGCGTAGGAATGGTCTGGGTCAGCTTGGTTTCCATGTAAACTATGAAGGCATTGTGGCAGATGTTGAGCCCTACGGCTATGCGTGGCAGGCAGGACTGCGACAAGGCAGCCGGCTGGTGGAAATCTGCAAGGTAGCTGTAGCCACTCTGAGCCATGAGCAAATGATTGATCTTCTCAGAACATCAGTAACAGTGAAGGTTGTCATCGTCCCTCCGTATGAGGACTGCACACCACGCAGGTATTGTATAATAGCTACATTTGGTCTGAAATTATATCTTGATTTGTGGGGTAAGGGGGGAAAGGAACACCACAGAATAAGTGTTAACCTCCAGAAACCATGGTATAATTATAATACAGCATCCAGTATTGTAAGGTGAAAGAAGAGGGCAGAAAAAACTGCCCATATTCAGACTCCAGGCCCCATAAAATATTCATTGAATACCACAGTTTAATAAAATGCGTGAAGAACCTTACGTGTCCTTTAAATTCCACGGAATTTAACATGGAAATCAAATGATTTTTTTGTTGTTGTTGACAGTTGTGTGTTTGATGCATCAAAATTAATTGTACATTTCCCTCCCTGCTTTCCCATTTGTTGGTAGTTTGCAATGTCTGTGGATGTAATTCTCGAAAGCTATGAATAGACTTACATTCTTCTACTTTCACAAATAAGTAAGGCTGTAAATGATGAGAGTTTATCAAATCTGGCCAGAGAAATTGCTGCAAATGGTAATTCTTCTTTACTCAGTAGTAGATCTTGCTGCATCTCTCTCACTTCCCATCTGTGTTAAGCCTGAGGCTTGTGTCAGCTGCATTATTGCTTTTATAGCTTTAAAATGTTGCTTGATCAGAAATAAGCAGTAATACGTGCTTTTTTCTAAATTGGACATTAAGTCCCTCCATTTTTCCTGAACTCACACAAAAGCTTTTTATAATTTTTACTGCTCCCATCTGAACTCTCTGCAGTTGTCTGTAGCATTCAGCCACATCACTAAATCTGATTTCTATATTCCTGACATCCTGTATTAATATCTTGCAAATGCTATATGATTAAAATGGAGTGATCTTTAATAGGCTAAATTTGCCTGCAGGCTAGCTCAAGTTTTATACTAGATTTGCCAAGAAGCAGCAAGTGCAGTTACCAAAGTTCAACGTGTTCCTTGCAGTGAGAGACTGAGTGTTTTGCACTGCTGTTTTCTAATCAGGCAATATCTTTGTAGGGGTAGATGCTAAATCTTTGCATACTTAAGGTTGAGGCTGAACTTAAATGCATATTTATTTGATATGAAATTGTGTCCCGAGCAAAGAGCTTGTACTTGCATAAAAGAAGAATCCATGTTTGTTTTTACCATGAGCCATACTAACTCCTTTTGTAACTGGTAGCAAAACAGGAGCAGAGAGAAAAGGAGTTTTATTTGTCCTTTAGTTGTTAGTGGAAAATTGAATAGATGTCAGGGATTGAAATGAGCAGTGGCATAAGGTCACCCATGAGGTATTTGGAAAGCTTTTGTACAGTATTTAGCAGCCCGAGCAAATGGAAAGTTCAGCTGCAATCATAGCAAAAGGATTAGAGCAGAAAAATCTGTGTGGAAAGCACAGATCCTATTATTCCTGAACTAAATTAAGTACAGCCAAAAGCAAGCTTAGCTTTAGTGTATCCAAACCCATAGCAGGAAGAGAAATTACTGCACTTTTTGAAATACTGTACTCAGCATCAGTGAGTTTTGTTGTTGTCTTGTAGTGAGCAAATGTTCATGGTGAGTTATTGCCTAGTTATAAAATTTCATAAAGCAACTCTTTATCCTGCTTGCTGTATCTAAAATCATTAAAGTTGAGGAACTGTGTCTTGAATTTGTAGCTATCCGAAATATATTACTAGAGACTTGACTTAAATCTTTGCACAAAGCAATTTCTCTTTTGGCAATTGGTTTTCCAAAATTGGGAGTCCTTTCATTGTGTCCTCTGGAGGTCATTTAGTATTTCTACTACAGTAACTTGTACAGGCCATAACTAAAATGAAGATCAGTTCTGCTTGGTACAGTACATTCATATGAGAAGCAGTCCCTATCCTAATAAATTGATTGGCTTGAAGCTGGAGGAAGAGCTGGGGTGCAATTAGATAAGATGACTTGCCAACAGGCACGTGGGCAAGGTCAGTAGCAGATACAAAAATATATCCAAATACCCCAATTCACAATCTAATGTCCTACACAGAGGCAGGCCTTGTTATGGTTATATCTCTACTAAAAGATGGTCGTTAAAACATTGCCACTGAACTTATTTAGTGGACTGATTGCTGACCTTGAAGTTAAGGACACAGCAGCAAGAGGAAATTGTGTATTCTTGCTTCTTAAACTGTAACTATGTCTGCCAAAAAAAGAGCAACCCAAACTACTGAAATATATAAAAAAAAAATAGCAGAGACATAAAATATGAAGAGAAAAGAAAAAACAAAGATTTTAGTTAGGTTGTGAGTGGACTTTGAAAACAAATCTCCTGATCATCCCCATCTACCATGCAGCGGTTCACATCAAAGTGGCCTGGGAGCACACAAACATTTCCTTTCAGATGAAGCTGAACTACGTGTGCTTCAGAAGCACACCTTGTGCCTTCCAACTTCTAATTTAATTTGCAGGTCAAGACTAGAGGGTAGGCCAAAGTAAAACCACAAAACGTGTATATTGTGGACCTCAGCAAGACCTCAGCACCGACTGTTTCACTTTGTCTGCTCCTATTAGACTGCACAACTTGCTAATGTCAGCACAGCCAGATAACAAGTTACCTGTTTTGTTTTGTATTTTAGCTGGGAAGAGATACTGATGTTTCTCACACTAACGGTGTAATCACTTAGAGGAAGGGCTAGAAGTAGAAAATTTTGCACTGATTGGTTCTTTTTCTTTCTCATTAAATAATGATGCGTGTAGATAAAGTAATCACAATAAAAAATTCACTTAAATAGAGGTATACACATTTTTCAAGAGAAATACCCAAATTATCCTCACCGAAGCTGAAGGTCACATCTACTTTCCAAATCTCTCATTTTAAATGTATGCAGAAGTTTGCCCTGCATCTTACGTGGACTGCATTAGCTTGTGTCCTGTTCTACTCCAGTTTTTATGCTGTCCTGTTCCTGTACATCCTCAGGAAGCAAAGGGCATCGTTTGGACTTGGCATCTACAATTTTTAGCAAGTGTTTTGTTTTTATAATGTGCAAATTTATCAACTGAGGTACTCCAAAGCCAAAGATGTTTGAAAATGAAGTGTGATGCATTATTTCATGGGAATCTTGTCTTTTCATGGATGTCTGTGCATCAGAAAGATTTATCTCAAAAAGAACAAACATTTCAGGTCTTAATTGTCTGGGTGCAGGTGAGTTCTAAAACCCTTGACTTTCTTTAAATCAGGAAGGGGAGATACCCTTCTAGCAGATTTTTTAGCTTTTATAACCCAGTAATCAGATGAATAGTATCAAAATTTGTTAAATACATGTTTCTAAAAAGCAAAATCTTACATTTACTGTTTCATAGAATTGATTCAGCTTCTGTCTTCAGATTTCTATCCTTGTGAACAGGATATATTTATTTTATTTTTTTTAGTAGCATGTTTAATTTCCTCATTTCCAGGAGTTCTTCAGAAAACTACCGTATGCCAGTGATGGAATACAAAGTGAATGAAGGAATGTCGTATGAATTCAAATTTCCCTTCAGAAATAATAACAAATGGCAGCGAAATGCAAGCAAAGGACAGGGACCTCATGTGGCTCAGGTACCATCCCAAATACAAAGTCCAGTAACATCTAGGATTGGCTCTGGGAAAGGAGAAGGGAAAATGCCACCCCCAGAACGAGCAGCCAACATCCCCCGAAGCATCTCTAGTGACGGACGCCCGTTGGAGAGCCGGAGGTACGTGTCTTCTTCACAAATGGCTTTTCATTGCTGCTCAGAATCTTGTCTGGAAAAAAGCACAATAGATTTATCTAAGTATCTGAAGACTGCTTTTAATCTTGGTTTTAATTAGCCAAAAGGCAACATGAATATGAGCGAAACAGTAGCCAAAAGGAAGTACCTTTCCTGGCATGATTAACCACAAAATGAAGTGTTACAGGATTGTTAAGCTATGTTTCTCTGTGTTGGATGGTATTCTAAAACTGCTGTATTGTTATTTAAGTTTTAAATGAGTTACAATCAGAGTTTTAGATCTAAGTGTTCCTGAACTCCTGCATTTTGAAGTAGTAAATCAAAATTTTAGCTTGTTTATAGGCTTGGTGGAATTGCCTAAAGCTCTCAAGGCAGGAATAGTATCTAACAGGGTGTTTAGCAAGAGAATTCTGACCAGTGCAGAAAGCAAATTTATTTGATTGGGGAGTTTTTAAACTTAGGCTAGAGAAGAGATTGTTTTAAGTTTGCATTTCTCCAGGGTGGTTTGGGGTTTTTCGTTGTTTTATTTTTCTTAAACAAGAAAGCAATTATTACTAAGATAAAGGTATCAGGCACGTCCTGTCACAGTATTTTCATTCTTTCATGGAAAAAGATGTATTTGGTAGTATTCAAATGGACTGTCATTGTTTTGATTATCTGTACAAATCTGTCACTGTCTCTGCATTTACAAAGAGATCTGTTGAGGGAAACAAGCTCGTAGCTTGTATTTCTTGTTTTGGACAACTCCTTAAAAAAAAAAAAAGCTGTAGACAGATTCTGATCATGCTTTACATTGCTGAAAAATATAAAGCAGTGGAAATAAGAGGCATATTGTAGAAAATTTAAAGAGAGCTCTAATGAACTAACTTAAAGCATTTTTCACATCCTGAAGAACTGGGGATTAAAAAAAAAATGTTCAAAGATGGTACAGCCAAGACCAAGAAACTACCAAGGTGAAATTGAAACTTCTGTGTAGGACACCTTGTTAAGAAATGATAATAGCTGGTAAGGACTTCATTTTCTTACGTTCTTTTTCATTAGACACTATCATACTTCTGCACTCAAACTGATTAGAGAGTGCCCCCCCAGTTGTAGCGTTAGGTAAGCTCAATAGAGGTATACTTAAAGCTCCCATCAGAGTGAGTTGCAAAAGAAAATTTGCAACACTGAAAGCGCTAATACTTTCACAGGCAACCTGAAAAGATTGTCTGTGAAAAAGGTTGCAGAAACCAGTGAGACACTGGCCTCAGCTCTCTAATGGTATATTTGGACCAACATAAAAATCGCATGGCTTCAGGCCGTATCTGCCTGTTACAACTTGAAGACAGGCGGATGCTGAATTTGAAGGAGTAGGAGTTGGGATGTTGGGTATTTTTGCTCTCTCCAGCGCTGTAGAATCTCACTCTCTAATTACGGAAGGCATAGTAATACCTGGGCAAAGTTTAAGGCAGTGGCAGAAGATCAGAACCAGTTGAGTTGCTGACTGATTGCAGACGCTTCCATCTCTTCATGGTATTAACCAGAGTTTTGTCTAGAGTCTCGAGTGGCTGTTCCACGACTCATGCCGAGGAGTGTGAGCCTTTGGTTGCACTGAGAGGCGGGGTATTATTAACTGTGTTTTTCTTGTGCACAAAATCCTATGTGGGCAACATTGCACACCTAAAGCATCCAAGATTTATCCAGTCACTGGATGCTTCTAGAGGGGGGTTATCGCCTGGCAAATATTTGCAAAGTGAAAATTACATTTCCATATACTCAGTATTTGTTTTCAAAAAGTGAAACTTTGACTTTCCATTTCCTTCATTTTCAAGGCATGTAGCTGGCGTTTTTCTCCTCTAGACATTCTTTTAAGTATTTTTTTTAATTATTATTCAGAAAGTGTTCTATTGGATCTTTTCATCCTTAAAAGTATATTATCAAAGTAGCTTTTAAGTTTGGCTGGGAATTTTTTTGGATGCCTGAAAAATGTCCTCTCTCTTATCTTTCTGGTCTGCTAAACATGTTAGTCTTGGCTGGATCAAGTTTAAATATAACAGCAGCTGCATAAGGTTAATGTGTTTCCAGTTAAAATGAAGAAAAATACATTTTTGCCATTTTAAAGGAACACTGGAGGGGGGAAAAAAAAAGCAATAAGCTCACTCCAAGACTCATTTGTCTTTTCTCTGCATGATAAAAGAAAGCTTTGCTTTTGGGGAAGCTCAGATACTTCTATTCTTATTGTGTAAAATCTCTAAAATCAACAAAGATGAGATTTGCGTAGCCCTCTTAACTACTGTCTCATTTAATTTTTCACCACTAACTTTCATACTTTCCATAGTGTAAAGATCACCTATCAGGAGGTGCTGGAATCTGTGCGTGTTTCTGGTGCAGGTGGCAGCGATGGTGCTCCGCTGTGCCTCGCTCCCTACGATTTGTTCTTTGCTCAGCTCTCAGTTGGCTGGAGAAATGGAGGACGAAGGGTAGCCTGGTAATATGGGTACCGGGATCTATACCGGTGGTCCCTGTGATCCAGAAAGGGCCCTCTAATTAACATGAGTATAAACTTGACCCCACCATATACAAGATGGCTACTTCAGTGTCTCTCTCTCTCTCTGCAATATTTATGTTCTATTGAGCAATTTTAAGGGATTTTAGAAAAAAGCACCTGTCATTACAGCTCATTAGTGAAGCAGTACAGCTATCCTAGATTTCCTTAGTACCATTAGAGCTTCACTTTTGAAAAGAAGGTACTGCCTAAGTGTCAGTGGGGCTGGAAACTTACCTATGAAGATTGGCATCAGTAAGTAATGTCAGTACTGAATTATCTCAATTTTAATCTTTGGTTGTGGTCTAGATATCACCAGCTATCACTTGTGTTTCTGCGGTGCTGAGCCGCGGTTCAGACTTGCTGATGTTTGACTGATCTTGCTACTTAGTTGTCTTGAGACTGGAGCTGGCATTTATCCCTCCGTGCTTCTGCCTTTTGACTGCACGTTCTTCGTTTATTGAGCCGCGCGCAGTGACAGTGATGGCAGATCTCATCTGCCACTAAGAAACAGCACTGTGTAGTTTGTGATCTATGTTTTAAGGGATGTGGCAGCTGAGAAACCCATAGTAAATTGATCCATGTGGTTCTCTGAGCTCTGAATCAGAGATGATTTTTGGAGCTAGTGCTGATAGCAGTTGCCCAGGACCACAGTGGGTTGGTACCGTCGTTAGCTGTAGCTCCAGCAGGTGTGATTTCAGAGAATGAAGTAGAGGCATTATAATATTTCTGACGTGTCAGACCTAATATGGTACTCATTTTAATGGCAACATATCAGCAATAAATCCATGACTTACATTAAGTATTTAGAAAAAACCCTGAAGATTTGGGGGATTTAATTTAAACAGAAACAGATTAGCAGACAGGTGTTTCCCTCTGTGAGTACAAAGTGCTCTCAGAGTATGGAGAGTACAGGTGTAACTCTTTTTGAGTTACTTACTAGTGATATTTGACTGATTATCACTTTATATAACTGTGAAATAAATTCATTTTTTACCCTTGTTGATATTTTCACTTTAGTCCATTTAACTATGTTAAAAATAAATAAAAGCTGCATTACTGATCCTGAGAACAGGAGGATTTCACTTCACATAAAAACATCTTGCCTCCCTGTGGAGAATTCTATTGTAGGTGGGAGACTAGCTTCCTTGACAGTCCCTGATTCTGAGAAGGCAGACAAATGCCCAGTCCTGCGCCTAACCAGCAGAGTACTTAAATTTGTCTTTATTGGATTGTCTTCATGGATACAACTCACTAGCTTATACTTAAATTCTCCCTGTTCCTCATAGTATCCTGGGTCTTTGAATGTATTCATGATTGATATGTATATTTGTAGGCAGAAAAGATGACCCAAAACTTTATAAATCTTAAAATAAATCTCTAATGTTACTGCAACATTAAGACTGAAAAATCTAATAATATAAATGCAATAAATTCCAAGTTATGGCTTCTTTCACAACGTTAATTAGTCCACATGGGACACTGTATAGCCTATAACCCAGAATAAATATCAGAATGATACATTAAGGAAAACAACAATAACCCACATATATGTGAAGTATGCCAGAGCTAATGTTATTGGAGAAGATGTAATTTTAGAGCTTGATATTTTTTTCCCCTTCCCAATTTTTGTTTTTTATTTTGTACACTTGGTTTACAGACTTTATTAAGAAAATTGTGCAGGGAAAGGAGATGAGATAGTGTTAGATGATAATATCTTCTTAATTAACTTATCGTAAACTAGAACCAGCCTTAAATAAAACTTGACTCAACAAACATTTGAAAAGTGTGAAAACCAGTGAGCAGTGTGCTGCTGGACTTGTGCACTTCAGTGTGCAGCTCAGTACTGTACTGGATGAAAGCTCAAGGCTCGAACTAGAAAATTTCTGAGCACAGTCAATATTTTAAACCAAATGGAAAACTGAATTACGGCATGACTGCAGTCAAGCACTAGCTGTAAAATTCCACAGAATGGAAGTATTAGAACAATATTCATTAAGACCGGTTTTAAGTCTTATTGAGGACTTTGGAGCACAGTCTTGCCCTAAAACTTCACACTACTTTGAACGATGCCTGTGTGTAGTCGGTGATGGTAGCTGTGCCAGTAGTAGTTTATAGGTTAATTCCTGCAGATAGATTCTAGTTTAAACTGTTCCCATATTACATAAAAATCCTAATCTGCTGCTTCTTAGCTTGGATCAGTGGTGTCTTTCCTAATATAAACAAGCAGGTGCTTGTGCTCATCTTGCCAGCTGTCAAGTAGCGTTGTAGCATGTGTTGCCTACCTCACAGGGTTTGAGGATTTGTTATTTTAAAGTTTTCGTAACATTCTTCAAATTAAAACATGTACTAACATGAGATTATAGATTATGCGTTTCCTACTGGCACCAGGACCTAAGCTGGATGTAGCAGTGGAAAATCGAAGGTTTGTTGGTACACCTGGCTATATGGGCAAACTCTTGTGTTCCAGAAACATCTGAGAAGAGCCATGCTGTGTCATGTCAAGAGTTGGTCTCTCTTGTTTGACAGTGGCCATCAGCAGGGACCAGGGAGAAGCATGAGAAACACTTACAAGTATAAGGGAAGACTCCTTACCAGGTCCGACAGTCTCCTGGCTGTTTGCTGTTTCGGATTGCCTGGAGCCAGCTGCAGCTGTACCACGGTGTTTTAACAGCTGTGGAGGGTATCTCTTCATCCAGGTGCCTGCTAATTGGTCTCTTGATAGTTCCAGATCTCCAGTTGCTCTTTTGTCATCAGGGATAACAAATAATCTTTTTGTTTGCTTGATCCAATATAATTCATGTTTGGATGGATTGAAGCAGATATGATAAAATTCTCTATAATCTGTGGAGCCGTGTAACCTATTCAGTGTTTCTTCGTACAGAAGCCATTCTGTGCTTCTGGTTGTCCTGTTGCCTGCCTCTGTATCTTTTCTTGTTATAATACGTGTTTTCTGAAATGCAATAATCAAATTGAAGAAAAATACTCGAGAAGGTATACAGTGTGGTGTGAGAAGGTACAATATGACAGCATTTTCTGTTTAATTTGCTATCCCCTTCCCCAAAATTGCTGGTGTTCTTTTTTCCTTTTTGAATGGTTTGGTTTCCTTTTTAATATGAGAGAATTGAGTCAGTGTTTTCAGAGAACTGTCACATCTTGCAGTGTTATTAGGATTGCAAAAATCAAACACGTGGAAGGTAAGCATGCCAGAATTAAGATTTGCTGTGCAATTTTATTCAGAACTCTTGTGTAACCGTGTTTTCTGATACTTCCTTTGATTCAGTTACAAGAATTTCTTTTAACAGAGGACAGCTGCCTCATTCAGTTCACATAGTGCATGCAGCTCATTAAAGAAGAGCTATTTAATATTTTCTTTTCCTCTTCATCCCATCCCATATTTACTGGATGGCATTCAAATCCTGCTGTAAAGATGTAATTATTAATTCCCCTCTATGCTTTACAGTGGTGCCCAGTACTATGGTTTCTGAATGCTTCACGGATATTAATTAAACTTAATTTTCAAAACTCTTGTGTGAGAAGAGATGTCTTTGGCCCTCTTCAGATTAAGAACAAAGGTAGAGAGAGAAATTATGTTCTAATCATTTGCTGTGTCTTATTTTGGGCATCTCATATTTGGAAGTGTGCCCAGCATTGTTAATATTTTATATATTCAAATTACAGCTTCAGTTGACTTCATCTGCTTTGGTAAGTTTTCAGCTCAGAAGTAAATCGGGCCTTGGAATCAACTAAGGCCTTTGAGAGATTTGCAATTAGTGAAAATGAATGAAAAATTTTTTTTTAACAAATATGCCAGTGGTCATATTGGAGTGCTGCAGCAAGTGCAAAATAAGAATTCAGTTTGCCAAGTCAGCACTGAAATGCCTTGACTATAAGGCCATCCTTTCTCTTCTGCCAGCCTGCACCTCCTTCACTGCCGAGCTGTGCAGCTCTTGCAGGAGAAGTTGTAGCACAAAATAAAACTGCACGGGGCAGAGGTCCTAAGGGAGAAGGCACCTGTGTGTGATCATGTAACTAAAGACTGCCTTAGGCCATAGGCACAAAGCATCCTAGACTGACATTTTTCTTACGATGTGTATATTACATACCTATGCATACTGAAGATGTGGGGAAAATTACAGCTAATGACATGGAAATTAATTTATTAAGAGCAAGATGGATGCTTTCGATGTCTGTGTTGTCATACTAAACAAAATAAATGTACGCCCATCCCACTCGCTGCCTTCACAAAAGATGGTTTTCTTCCTGTACTTAGCAAGACTCAACCAGTCCTTTCAGGATGAACTAGATCTGTTAAGACTAAATCATGCATGGTATAAACCCAGTTCAGTTGACTGCAATGTAATTGTATCTGTTTAATGCAATGGATGCTTGGCCTATTTTTAAATTCAATTATGGGACTCACGTACTTAACCATTTTTGAACTTCTTAAAGCTGTCTTTTGAAAATGATATTAGCTTGGTTTAGTTTTGTTTTTAATTGTAAATAAAAGACAAGCACACAATATCTTAACTATTGGGGCATACTGCTAACACAATACTCCTTTTGTCTTGGGAAGTGCCTTTCATCAGTAGATTTAAAAGCAGCTCAAAAAGTCAGTTTGCACTAATTTACTCTAAAGTTCTTTTGTCTTATTTATATGTTTCACATAAAATGAAACATCTGTCACTATTAATGTTTAGTGCTTTTGTGAACTGTACCAACAAAATGTATTACTGCCTTAAATAATAGGATGTCCTACCTGACTGTTCATTGCTGTTGTTCAGACCACATTTATAATACAAGTTTGTTTGCCCTCGAGGCCTTTCATCTTTGTAAATGAGTTATAACCCCATGACATAGTTCTGAAATCTTGACGTTCCTTCTGACCAGTGCTGTCACTTTTTGGTAAGGCATAGGAAGTAAAGAAAAGGCATAGCTGAATCTGAAGTGAAAATGTAAGCCTTTTCCAACAGGAAATCATTTTATAGAAATTATTTGAGAATAATTCGTTCCTTTGCCATAAATTCTAATTTAGTATCACAGAAAAAAGGTCATACTTTTAAACTGTGTATTGCTCTGCAAACATAAATGAGTTTAAATGTGTGTGCCTATATAGATGAGTGAATGCTATTGAAAGCATGTGTTGGTGGAACTATTTTTTTTTTTTTGTCTTTGCAAGAGTGCCACCGGGAAAATGAATTGCTTGGCTCACGGCTCCCCAAGTTTCCAGCTCTTGAACTGTGTTCTTTGCAATCAAATATTTCAGAATTGTTGCTTGATAAGTGTAAGATAAGTTAAATTCAGTTTGGTAGACTAGAAAGGAATTACTGGATTTGGTGTGGTACTTGTGATGGTCAGGCATTGGATCATTCCTTTCTTGTCAGGGAAAAAGAGTTACTGTTAGTCATACGCACTTTAGGAAATTCCAGATGATCAAGATGTTTGGTCCAGTCGTACTGCACCTTCCATTTTAAGATTTTGTTAGTTTACTGCTTTTTTGCAAAATATTGAGGAGGACAAATGCACGTTGGGGGGGGGGGTGTATACACACACACAATCTTTGGATGTATACACATACATAAGTAACATTAATCAGTGCAATCCATTTTTCATTTTCAAAAGAGTTTTTGAACTTTAAAAGTTCTTACAGTATTGTGGTGAGAGCTGATAGAAATCTGCTACTCCTTTACAGATATAGATTAGGTGGCTAGGCTAAGATCTTGTAAATCCCCAGGCCCAAGTTGTGTACTGAGGCAACTATCTGTGTGCTTCACTGAAGTCAATACGCATTTTTTAAATGTTAAAAGTTAAATTGCTATTTAACTTGTGTAAGTTAGTATTTTTCCTAGTTAAAATGAATAAAGGTTTGCGTTCACAGTAGGATTTTGATGTTTGTGGATGGCGTAATTCAAACTCCAGTTAAATCACTGCAGAAGTCCTGAATGGCTTCAGTCACCACTGAGTAGAACAAAAAAACAGCTAGCAGCAGTGAATTTGGTTGGGGTTTGGGAGACAAAATGCACAAAGCAGAAAATGATCTAAAAGAGCCTTCAACTACAGAACAGGATGTACGAGTTGAGCAGTAGAAGCCTGCTGCTTCCAGCCATTCTGCCCAGGTGCATGTGTTGCAATTCTAGCCCATTTATTTGCTGTATGGCTATTCCGACAGGAGAAGGCCTCGTATGACTCAGGTCTGTATTGTTTGCATAGACGGCTCACTACAGTTAGTTTAAATTCCAGGCAAGAGTTTGTTTTGAGAATTAGAAATATTTTGTTTTGTTTGGTATTTGGGTGAGGAATGTCGTGCTTCATTTTTCCTTACAAGCAATCTGTAAAAACAAATCAGGGCTCTGGAAACTGGGCTGTTTTCCTAGCGTGTGCTGGGATTTTCCTCCCACACTTGCCTCTCTTCATTTACTCCCCGGCATCCAGCTTTTTACAGCTGATTTTCCATGGTTTCCAATAGATTGGTAAGGGGAAAGTGTCTGATCCTTCAACTGACTTCACTTCTACTGTCTCCATGATGCCATGTTCTTTGCTGATGTCACAATTTGCACGGTGTTGTCCATCGTGCTTTGCAGTATGATATTGCTGTTCAGTATTGCTGATTTGACTGGTTCGTTTGCTCTGAACAGGTTGTCTCCTGGTTCTGACGTCTACGTCACAGTTTCATCCATTGCCTTAGCAAGATCGCAACAGTGCCGTAATTCTCCAAGCAACTTATCATCCTCAAGTGAGACTGGCTCTGGTGGGGGCACATACAGACAAAAATCTATGCCAGAAGGGTAGGCACCAGACTTTTTTCATATACTTTTTAGGCAGGCTTTTTGTTGTCTGTTCCATTTGTTGTAATGTATATTAAACTAAAGGAGTGCTTACACAGCCTCCTGTCAGCTGTTGTTTGCACGCATTAAAACATGTTTGTTTTCAAATATCACTGTCATGCTTCTTGAAAAAGTTTTAAAAATCCCTTGCTTCCACCTTTTCCCTTTGCGACGTAACCTCTCCCTCTGATACTAGTCTACAACTGCTCAGGTTACTATACAAAGGGACTTTTATGTATTCAAAAATCTTCATTAAAGGTACTGGTTTCATGTTGCAAATTGCTTCATTTCACAGGTTTAGATTCTAAAATAAAATAAGTAATAGGTTTGGGACGTTGTAGTCTGTGCTAATAGTTGAAGCAAAGTAGTGTTGAACGCAACTAAGACTTCAGATGTGTAGGCACAAAAGTGCTAAGTAATCCACAGCTATCATCTTTTTCACATATTCACAGTCATCCTGTTTTAAGGTGCTCTCTTCCAACTTCCCATAAATATCCAAACTCTCTGAAGTGATCCGATGTCAATGTAAGGGGCAACTTGCAGAGGAAGAAATTAAATCTGTATCATTTTCAGAGAGCACTGAAAGGAGCAATAAATCAAGGATCTCCAAGTAGGGAAAAAAATAATTGGCAGCAGGAGAGCTGTCTACCACATTCCAAATTACTTCCTATAGAGAAGATAAAGGGGCAAAACTGCTGATAGTTCACACTGCAAAGCTTCCCTCTGAAGTCGTCTTGAGTACGTTGCAGGTCATTGTGTGTAATTCATTCCGCTTTGGGTCTTTTTATAAAGTAGAAGTATCTTTTTCTCTGTTTTAAAAAATATGTTAGTAAGACTAAATACCCTTGTCAGGAACTGCTTAGCACAAGGCACTGTCTTTTGCCTGTTTAGGTGCTCTGTGTCAGTCCAGAGAATGCTGTTCTGAGCACGTGTTTGAACAAGCACTGCTTCTTGCGCCGGAGCGCTGAAGATTGGTGCTCCCTGTCCTCCTCCTTGCAGCTCAGTTTGAGGCTTTCTTAAGAGGCCATCTCTTCTCTGCTGCACACCTCCCTGCAGGCTTTGATTCATGAGGCTATCAGGCCTGTTCAGGTCATTATTTAAGTTTGTGCTTAAGTCCTACTGACATTAGGAGATTTGCTCTAAACCCATTAAACTTTGCTGTAAGGAAACTAAACAGAAGTGTGTCCAGAGCTCTGCAGCTGGAAGAAGCACTTAACCTCTTTGTACACTGCATACTTCCTGGCTCTTCATGCTGGCAGCACTTCTGTGTTGCCTTGAATTCTGAAGAGCAGCTTGTGCTCCCAATATCTTGTCTGCTCTTTTCCAACTACGTCATTTGGTCTACAAAAAAGGTATTGCTGCCATATGTCCTTAGACCATCACAACCGTAACTGCTTGAGTAGGAAGGGTTTTTTCAGACACGCTGGGGCTTTTGTTTTGAATTGGCCTCAGAGCACACCAGCACCCATCCCAACCCTTTTCCATCTTTCAAGTTAATTATACACATATGTTCACTACAGCATTCTTTGAGCATTTTGCAAGTTCAGCAGAGATGTGTCCTAGAAACCTTGTGTATACAGTCTTTTTGGTTTTGAAGCTTTAATTTGGTGCAAGGAAACACTGTTTAAATGCAGTAATGAAAGAAGTAATTAATACAAGAACTTTGCATGTTCCTTACTGGATTTTTTTTTTTAATCCCTTGTTAAACTCCAATTATTGGACTATTATGTTCTATTCTTATAGGAAAAGCACTTTGCTTCCCATACTGTCCTTGTACACATGAATCATATTTACTCAGGACTTTCCAAGCATTTTCTACCAGGCTAAACAGAAAGCATGAAAAATGTAATTACGAAGGAAACTTTCCCTTATCTCAATAAGCAAAGTAATGTCTGTCACATTACTAAAAATCATTGCAGTTCCACGTGCGTCTTCTGTTGAGATTCGTCTGAGAGACCAGGTTCAGGGCAGCTCTGTAGTTATGTTCAATGTACCAGGTAGAGCTGATCAGTGATTAATCCACATATGTTGTTAAAATAGGGGAGAGATGTTGTAGCATTCAATTGCTAAGATGTTGGAGAGAAGGATGGGCTGGAGTAGGTACCTAGCCGAGGGGGCACCATGTCCTGAAGGTAATCTTCCAGAGGTGAGGCTCCAGTGTGCTGTAGGTATGCCAGTCCCTGAGATTTCCCAGTGCAGGAAATCTCAACTGCATAATTTGTGTATACATTTCTTTCTTGTTGCATGATATGACAGATTTGGAAAGTTTGTGAAACTTAAATGACTGGAAGCATGGGTGTGAGTCCAACCTCTGTCAGACATCGGTAAGAGCAGTAACTGCTGCCTCTTCTAGATTATTGGTCCATATCCTAAACGGGGTATAGGCAAAAACTTCACTGCCTTCATGAATGTCCAGATTGGTCTTGCTGTATATATGTGTGTTTTGTATACTTATCCTGTGTTTACCTGAAGGTATGTATATGTAATAAATGATTATAGAATGTAAAAATGAAATTTGAAAATACTGAAATAATGAGTTTCTTCTTACGACATATATATAAAACGTATATTTAAACAATTTCCCTGTTCTTTTTATCCAGATTGATTTCTCCTTTGAGTTTTTGGGTTTGTTCCTACATATCCTAGTGGGCTATATATTTAAGCAGTATAGAATATAGCACCACCTGCATTTATTCTTCCTGCTTTTAAATAGCCCACTTCATGTAAAAAAAGGAAATCTAAAGACATTTCTTGCTGCTCAATTAGTAGAGCAGTGATTTTAATGAAATAAAATTAGCAACATGTGGTGGTTTTGTATATCTCTAATCTTGAAAAAAAGATCCCACATCATAAAATATGCCAAATGCAAAACTGACGGCTTTCATACATATGAACATTATGGGATTTAGGTAAGAGGACAACACATAGAAAGTACAATATTGATACAACACAACTTCATCACACCAAGGTTTCTTGGGGTTTTGGCTTTTTCTTTTAGATAACAACTTCTAATTACTTTGTCATGAAAAGATATTCTTCCCAAAATACTTCACAAGTCTTAAAAGATTGACAATTACCTCAGATCAGTGTTTAAAGAATCAATCAGCTTTTGAAATGTTGTGTTTAGACTTGTTATGCATGTATCAAATTGGTATTGAATTCATCATGTTTAATTTAGGTATTTGATTAAGTGAAATTCTAGCTAGTCTGTGTGGATAGAAAAGGAGAAGCATTACTTACATAATGCAATTTCCATTTAAATTGTTTGCGTTCAGAAGGCAGATAGATCCAGGTGTCCTTCACTTCATCAAACCGTGTGTTGGCTGTACCAGGGAGCTGTGAACAAACAAGAAGCAGGGTCACGTTTGGGTAAAATTTAGAAGGCCCAAGTTTCAAAATGTGACATTTTGGAGCTGTGCTGCACGTACACACACGTTCCAGCTGCTTGTCTAAGGATAGGAGTGGGATTTTGTTCTGAGTCATGTGATGTTTCTTTGGTGGGTTCATTTGAGTCAATAAATACATAAACTTTCAAATGGGATGACCACTTTCAGCTTGTTCTGGGAGAGTGGCAGATGTCTGTTTTACATTGGAGGTCGTGTGGGGCAGTGTATAGCTAGTAGAGTGAGTAGAAAGCACAGTTTGGGATATTTTATTTTCTGTTGTTATGTTAGGCCCTTAGAGCTAGAGAAACTCCTTGATATATACAAAATATATCAGCTTGTAATTCTTTTGGATGTTACTCTGTGCATGTAGAGTTTTGGTGGGGTTTTTTTTGTTTTGTTTTGTTTTGTTTTTCCCTGCAAGGTATGTCTGATTAAAAAAAACAAACCAGCAACCCAACAATTCAGAAATGCATTATTCTTGATGAATTCTTAATGATTAATCTGCTAATTCTGAACCCAACTATAATTCTTACAGACTTATGAATGATTTATAAGTAATACAGAATTATAGACTTAATTCATAGACTTCTAGGCATATAATGCAGGTAGACTTCAGTACAGCACAGAGGCACTGCGTGTCTCCTTTGTCATTAGATTTTCTCCTTGAATTTACTTTATCTCTGTTGAGCTTTCCAAAATCGATCTGACTAATTTAGCAGGATTTACAAAAAGTCCATTGAACTCTGTATGCTTTCTTCTACAGCAGTAGGTGTACACATCTCACTGCTTTCCTACGCCTGTATTTAGTTTATTCTAGTGAACTCAAATTACTTTATGATCCAATAACTTCATAATTTACAGAATTTTTACCTCTCAGGTTTTGAGAGGCCATAACCAATACAGTCAACTTTATAAACTCTTAACTAAAATGTTTGTCAGTGTAATAGTGCCTCAAATGAATCTGTATTGTTTGCATACGTGTCTGCGTCACCTAGGTATGACCTTAATAGTCTTTTGCTTAGAACCCAGGGAAGTGGACGAGATCCATGGGATTGTCCCAACAAACTTTCTGATGCTCACTTTGACTAGATTGGGCTAGCACTTTCCCAGTTAAAAGGATCCATCCTTGAAATCTTTTCCCAATAAACGCATCTCATTTCCCTATGTGGTTTTTATCCAAACTATCAAGTTTTACTCATTGCGGTCAATTTTCTGTAACCATGTAATGGTCTGGTCACCTTTCCATGTAAACATCTATGTAAATGAAAACTAATAATTTTATTTCTGGATGTTTTGGGTCTGGTTTTTTAATTGTATGCACTGTAACTAGATGTTCTTTACCAAAGATGCTTAATAAATTAGTGTGTACTGTAGTCTTACGCATTAAAGGTGCTAAATGGGTCCTGGAGCTGCCACAAAAATTAAATGGAAAATCATTATAAATCCCTCAAGCGGTTGTGCTATGCATTGCTCTGCCCTGTTGTTTGACACTAGCTTCTTAAAAGTGCTCTTTTCCCCTTATGTGATATTTATGCATATTTAAAATCATTATCTGCTTTGTTTTTTGGGGTGTTATAACAGGTTTGGAATTAGCCGTAGATCCCCTGCTTCCATTGACAGGCAGAACACGCAATCAGATACGGGTGGTAGCGGCAAATCCACACCCAGCTGGCAAAGAAGTGAGGATAGTATCGCTGACCAGATGGGTAGGTAATTAATTCTTTACAATGAACAAGTGGTGCTAACCACAAGGTGACTTTGGCAATACCTCTCCATGCAGAGAGAGAACCCTCTTAAGCACTGTGTTTTCAGTGTCTTTGAAAATTAACCTTGTTCATCAGGATGAATAATTAAGTCTGGAGCATATGCTAGCTTCTGCAGTCTGTTTCCTTGAGACCTATGAGTATCACCTGAGGAAGAACTGATACCAGTTCTTCATTTGATTGTGGGACTAAATCTACCTTAATGCTCTTACCCTGAAACACACTGTCCTTTTGGAAGCAGCTGGGCAGACACACTTACTAATTTGTCTTGCTGTTGAGGACTTGTTTGACCTCACGTACTCTCCCGAGTGGCTTGGCTTAGTTTAATTTTTGCTTAATTTGTCTAAAGTGCTTGTGATGCTTCCTTTCAAATGGCGCTATATAAATGTAAATTGATTGTTTGATCATTGAAGCTATAAAAATATCATGTACAAAACGGAAAAAATGCAATTAAAGTTTAAATAGTGAAGTAAATCTATAGCTTGGTAATCACCTTCCACCAGTGTATACATTTTCATTCCACTTGGCAGTTGTGCTGTCAGCTGAGGGAACATACTAACTACATAAAACAGCTGGGTACTGAGAATTTGCATTGTTAAGCCTTCATCTGAAGTTTTTGCACGTAGACCTTTTGCTATAGCTATGGCTCAACTTGAGTGGATACCAATGAAGTTGACACCAATGGAAATATCTTATCTACAAACAGCATTGATGCAACCTGATGACCATGGTCAAGATTGCTAGATTAGTTTTTTCTAACTTTGTTACCGTAGATTGAACAATTCCATACTTTTTCTATGGCACATATAGATCATCATTTTACTGCATCACAGCTTTTGTTCTATATAAATGGACTAGTATTGAACACAGAATAAGGTTCAGTGAGATAAGCAGGAGTTTGTTACGGCAAATGCCAACCTCGAGTTCTGAAGATGTACTTTGTTCACATACCTTCACAACCTCAGTCAGCAGTGCCTTGTTATTGAAGCCGTCTGTCAGTCCCTCCCTCACAACTCCCCCCGTACTTCTCACTATAAAGCTGTGATTGTACTGATCAGCAGTTCTCATTCTGACAGAACGATTTTTAATTGCATATGTTTTGATACTGTTGTGATGGTAACGACACATGTAAAACTGATCTTTTGCTCAGCATTACTTTTGCAGACCAACGGTTGGGTGTTGACGCTGGCACTGAGTGGAGCTGCCAGCAAGTTCTGTTGCACAATGTCAGGTGTCACCATAATTAGCAAAATAAATAAATAAGACCAAAAAGAACAGGAAAAATTGTGTGGCGGAAGAGATGGCTGTGGCATTTGGCAAAGGCTGAAAATGCATCCTGATACATAATCCCTGCGTTTTGTCTCTTGTGTATTGACCTGCATTCATAGAGTTGCAGTTGGAAGCTGCATCTCTGACTGGAGACTTTATTGCCAGCCTGGTGAATGTAGGTGAAAATTCGGTTCTGTGCCAAATAAGCGCATTTCCACTTGGGATAATCTGTCTCAAGGTGAATAAGGCATTAGGTGTAGTGAATCCACACACTCACTCCTTACTGCCCCATTCTTAGCTACAGAAGACCTTTGCTCTTTCTGCACCCACACTGCTTGTTACTGCTTGGCTGGGGGAGTCACATTTGATGATGATGACGATGTTATTTTTATTATTATTTATTATTATTACTATATTTTTAAAACTTTTTAATTTGTTTTTTTAAAAGCTAGAAGCGCTGCAGATCAAGATGAACAAACCATAGCTGTGTTGGGGAAAGCTTTAAAGCACTGCTAATTACCATGGGTATTGTTAAGTACTTAATGTTCATAAGCACATATTCTACCTAAAAGCAGCATTTTTAGAAGTGCAGAATATTGCATAACCGCAGGAGAGAAGATACAGATAAAAAGTTACAACTAAGAAAGATTCTTTTAAAATACTGACCTTGTGCTCCGAGAAGGCAGTTACCTACCTGAAGTGCTGTGTCTGAACACCCTCTAGATCGCCATAGTTATTGCCTAGGAAAAAATAAGCGTAATTGGCAAAGAGCATTCCTACAAGTGTTCACGTAAGGTGAATGATTTGAATTCTGTCCACTTTTGTATGGTTTAGTTTAATATGGACAAAAGAAAGGGATACTTCTATGCAGTTTCCACATTCACAGCCATCAATTTTTAAGGGAATATTGTGATTTCACCAGATTTTTTGCTCTCTCTTCAATTAGAAAATTTTTATTTAACTCGCCTTAACTTTGATGAGAAATATGTGTAGTAGTTGTACTGGAGAAAATGTGTTCATTTAAGTGATCACTGTAGACTTGTGCTATTGTCCTGCCTTGCGTAGAATACCATTTAAGGAAACATGGATCTTCAGGTTTTTTAATCTCTTGTCCACAGGCAGTGTGCATAGAGATACAATGTCAACACACTGTGAAAATGAATATTCCGCTGTTTTAATGCTCTGATACAGTGCTGTTGGACAATTGGGGCATAATACCATTCAGGTTGTTCTGACAAAAGCCAGGATGGTGGCTGCTGGTTTTTCATGAAGTCTTACTGATTTACGCCAGGCAGGAATGGTCTCTCACTTACCCACCCGCATTTTGTCACAGTATGTATTTTTTTTATTTGGAATGAATTTCCTATTAGGTATCCAAAGTTTTTGGCTAATGGTAGTATTGGAAAAATTGCAGCGTAAAAATAGATTACACATTTTCTTGGTTTGTTGCACTGCTTACACTCTTCAGTACATTGTTGTGTGCTGTATTGCAGAACCAACATGCCATCTCCCAGCAGTATCAAAAGTACTGCCATCCTTCAGAGAAAGCCCCAGTGGAAGACTGATGAGACAGGATCCTGTGGTTCACTTGTCTCCAAATAAGCAGGGTCATGTAAGTTATCCTAAAAAAAGAATTAATTAATGTTTTGCTCTTGCTTCACAAGCTCTTGATACCAAAAGTGTTGTTCAAAGTTATATTTAGAGAGTCATTTAAAAAAAGAAAGAAAAAAATCCTCGTCCTGTTCCCTCCTAGAACGTGAAGGAAGCAGTAGAGCAGACCTGTTGTTTTCCTGAATCCTACAGTAGCTTAGCACAGCCTACTGAAATATTTATTAGTTAATAAAGTTTTGTTGCCACTTGAACAGCAACTTCTTGTCTGTTATCTTGTGATAAGTAGAGGATTTGTGGGAGTCTGCAAAGCTATTCCTATGCCTCACACGTGAGACTTAAAGTTTACAAATATATTTTATAATGCAACACTCAGAAAGCTGCTTCTTTGAAACAGAATAGTGATCTTGCTTTTGGTTTTGTATTTTCTCCACTTTCCTCATCTAGTGTAACTATTACTTCCTTTCCATAACCTACCTTGCACACTGTTGGAAGGCTTTGTCTGAAAGGTCTGCTGAAATCCTGCTGAGATGACAAAAAAAAAAAAAAAATCCTTGTTTTATTTGTGTTTAGCGTCTAAATGGTAAATTCTGCCTTTCTGTCTCTGCAGAGTTAGATACTCACACCTTTTTGGATACTGTCACTTCCTGATTTACATACAGAGAGATAGATAAATGCAGTAATGTTCATAAATTTAAAATGTTTTGAAAATTATTTAAGTCACTAGACTCAAAAAACCCCCACCCTTTAAACTTTAAATTAACCAATATGCTGTATCACTTGGTTTTTTTATTTATTTGTACAATCAGCTAAAATACGGAGTTGTGTTGCATGATTATACTGAAAGTATTAGTCGCATTTATTTAGGTGTGAGAAAGTCTTTAATTGGTTCCTGTTATTTGCTCCTGCTTACCAGCATTCTTCTTTCAATACAATTGGCAGTGTTGTTTTTAGGTTATTAATTCATAACACCATATCTTTATTATTAAAAAAAAACCAAAACCAAACACAAAAAACCCAACAACACCACACCTGTCTTCATATTCTTAGGAGCACAAATTAGTTTTTGTATTTAGATTGACCTGTTTTCCGTGAAATGTATTTGACTGTATAATGATGTAATACATAACTCATAAGCTTGCGTGCAAAGCGTAGCACTGGTTTTATTAATGCTTGCATGCATTCTTCTCATTCAGTCATCATTAAAGTAAATCTTTCTTATGTAGAGAGATGGAGGGGGGGAATGATGCAGTTCCTAATGAAGAACAGTAACTTTAATCGGAGATAAGTAGGAGTTCAGATCAACTTAATATTCATCCTGATTTTCTGTCAATTCCTGCTTTAGTGTAATAAGAAATGTGGATGCTGAAATTTCTTGCTCTCGGTATACATCCATTCTCTATTTTCCCTCTTTTCCAGTGAAAACAGAAACAGTATCTAATCTTTTATATTTGCCTGGGATCTCTGCCCATGCCTGTTTGGTAAAACTCCAGGGGTAGACAAATAGGAAAGGTGGTTCTGAGTCTCCTTTCCATCCCTTCCCTTATTCCTGGGCCATCTGGTCACCAAACAAGTCCGTTGCCTACTGAAAAACTGCTTCAGTTCTGACTATGTAGATGATCAGAATGTAGGCAAAATCTGTAGATGGAAACTAAAATTAAGGAGTTCAGATGGATATAAATACCCCAAAGGTAGGTGAGCTACTAAGCAATGATGAGTGTATGGCAAGAAATTCTTCCTGTAATGGGATATTCCAATGCCCACTATGGAATTGAGGGCATTCAGTTTCTTCATAACAGCTGGCTGTAACCAACGACAGAACACACAAACCAGCCAGACACTGGGATGCCCTGATGGCACAACTTCAAAGCATTGCATTAAAGCTTCCTTTCTTGCAATTTTGCCTTTTGGAAAACAATTTCAGATTAGTTAAATGACATTTCAGTCGTCATTTGCAAAGGACACTCCTGCTGAGGAGCGTCCACCCTACCATACCCACCCTACTACAAAGGGGTAGGAAGAGCAGTGGTTATTTTGCCCTACTTTAACCTTTTGATAGGCAATTGGATTATTAAATTAACGTGCACTTTCTGTGGATTAGTTATGTTTCATGTTCTAAAACACTGGCATCTTAAAATTAGAATATTTTTAACTATAGTAGTTATAAACCAAGTCAAAGTCTACACAGCTCAGCCAATTTCATTGGACTGGGCTGAGCAGAACTGCGCTTGAAAGGAAACAGTGTAAAGTATTTTGGACAAAATACAAACAACTCTGGCTTTCCCTGAATAGTTAAGGCATGGCTTCCAAATCCATACGGAAGCTTTTTATGTGCACCCAGAACAGAGCACATGCATTGTGTTGGAATGAAATTTTTAGAGTTTATTAGTCTCTGTCCAATACCTCAAGGTAGAAGAGCTCCTATTGTGCAGTGGTGACTTTTGTAATCGTTTATTTCCTCCTCCTCCTCTTTATTGCCATAATTCTGAAATAAACCTACCAGTGTGGGGTTTTTTTGGATTGTTGTTTCTTCTGTAGTCTGACAGCCACTACTCCAGCCATTCCAGCAGCAATACTCTCTCCAGCAATGCCTCCAGTGCTCACAGTGATGAGAAATGGTATGACAGTGGAGAGCGCACCGAATCAGAGCTGAACAGCTATAACTACCTTCAAGGGACTTCAGCTGATAGTGGCATAGATACCACTTCCTACGGACCTAGTCATGGCAGCACTGCCTCCCTGGGAGCGGCAACATCTCCCCGTACAGGGCTAACAAAGGAGAAAGTGGCACCGCTGTGGCATAGCTCCAGCGAAGTGGTCTCCATTGCAGACAGGACATTGGAAAAAGAGAGCCACATAGACCGAAAGACCGAGTCTTCACTGAGCCTGGATATTCACAGCAAGAGTCAGCCAGCCTCCAGTCCTCTAACAAGGGAGAACAGTGCTTACAGTCTTAGTGATGCCGTCTCGCATACAAGGTAAGTTTCACCTCTTATGAGATTGACCCCTCCACACTCATTTTCCCATTCTCGCTCTCTAGCCTACCAAAAGTGAGAAGTGGATGTTGAAGAGAGGTTTCTACTTATGTTAACCAGTGTTTTGAAAGATCTCACTGTGCAGAATGCTTGAAAATTAAGACCACCTTTAGTCTTTACATCTGCTACTCCTTATAACACTAAAGAATGTCTTTGAGAGCATATTCCATACTGCTGCTACTAAATTAATGTAAGACAGACATGTCTGATGTGTTTATGAGGAATATCTTGCAAGAACTGCAGTTCATATATGGATCAGAAAGGAGATCAGTCCATTTTATTAATGCACATAATATTTAATATGTGTTTAATATGAGGTTCTTTTTTAGTCTTGCAAGTATGCGTTTCAGATGTTTTGCATTTTTTCCCCAGTCTTTTTGTAAGAAATCTGCTTGCAGTCAGTATGATCAAGACTGAGAGCGAGTTGCTTGGGAGTGCTAGCATGCAGATTTTAATCTCATTCTGCTGCAAACTTG